CCCGAACTATAAAATGTGTGTAGTCATGCATGCAGATATTCTATAATTGAAATTCTATACACACAAATCATAAATGAGTGTACCTGTAGTCTGTACATTATATGCATCGAAAGTCCACGTTGGCTTTTGACTTTGACAATTCGACTTATCTTGGTTTAATGTTGGCGCCAATCTCCCAACGGTTCAGAACATGCAACATTTAATAGACACTGATAAAATTGGCTACTTGACATAGCCTATAAAAGCATAATCGTCATTCCCCTAAGAGCTGCAAGTTGAACTAGAAGTGGATAAGTGTTTTTCTCTTATTTTGGCATTTATGGCTGTGTCTACTTTCCATCGGAAATGGCTTTCTGTGAGTGTTCTTGTTCTTTGCATTGTTCTTCATTTGAGTGTGATCACTCGTGGTGATCACAAGCTTGAACAAGCTAGGTTCGGAGGCGATGATTGTCGATTTGGAGGTGGACCACGCTGTGGGGGTTGGATGGGTCGTCGTGGGCCTTGCGGTCGTGGTGGTTTTGGTGGTGGAGTTGGAGGTGGAGGCGGCTTTGGTGGTGGTGGAGGTCTTGGTGGTGGTGGTGGTGCTGGAGGAGGTCTTGGAGGTGGAGGCGGCGGAGGAGGTGGTCTTGGAGGAGGGGCTGGTCATGGTGGAGGTTTTGGTGCCGGGGGTGGTGTAGGTGGTGGAGCTGGAGGGGGCCTTGGTGGAGGAGGAGGTGGTGGAGCTGGTGGAGGAGGAGGGGGTGGATTGGGTGGTGGCTCAGGACATGGTGGAGGCTTTGGAGCTGGCGGTGGTATTGGTGGAGGTTCAGGAGGTATAGGTGGTGGAGCAGGTGGAGGGGGTGGTGGTGGTGGTGGTTTAGGTGGAGGTTCAGGACACGGGGGAGGATTTGGTGCGGGTGGTGGTGTAGGAGGTGGGGCTGGTGGAGGACTTGGTGGGGGAGGAGGAGGAGGTGGAGGTGGTGGTGGGGGTGGAGGACTAGGTGGAGGTTCGGGTAGGGGAGGAGGCTTTGGTGCAGGTGGCGGTGTTGGTGGAGCTGGTGGAGGAGTTGGTGGAGGAGGAGGAGCAGGAGGTGGTGGTGGTGGCGGTATTGGTGGAGGATCAGGTCATGGTGGAGGCTTTGGTGCAGGTGGCGGTGTAGGGGGTGGTGCTGGGGGAGGAATCGGTGGAGGAGGAGGAGCAGGAGGAGGTGGTGGTGGTGGAATAGGTGGAGGTTCAGGTCATGGTGGAGGCTTTGGTGCAGGTGGTGGTGTAGGAGGTGGTGCTGCTGGGGGAGGAGTTGGTGGAGGAGGAGGAGCAGGAGGAGGTGGTGGTGGAGGAATAGGTGGAGGTTCAGGTCATGGTGGTGGCTTTGGTGCAGGTGGTGGTGTGGGAAGTGGAGGTGGGGCAGGTTTAGGTGGAGGAGCAGGCGGTGGTCGTGGTGGAGGTGGAGGGTTTGGTGTTGGAATTGGCATTGGCATTGGTGTTGGTGTTGGAGCTGGAGCTGGAGTTGGAGTTGGCCAAGGGTCTGGTAGTGGCGGAGGAGGTGGGGGTAGTAAACATTAACCCATGTATTAAGGTTATTTGAATTAATGTCCCTCAAAATGTGTCCTTTATGTCAACGTGTTTTTATTGAATATGAGGTTTGGAACAGTTTTATTACAATTACGAGATTCATGTTAATAACACTATCCATTCAGGGGTATCTACATTTTTCCTTTATGTTAAATGGTTTAATTGTCAACTGTTTTTTTTATATTGAGAGGATGGAACCATCTCCATTTGAGAAAACTGTAATAAATTACGTAATCGCAAATCATGTATTACCTTTCTCAAATTCTGTATATGGTTTGATATCCAGAGTTATGTCATATATAGTATAATTCATCTTTACTTTGATGACCAATAAAGACTATCTAATCTTATCTATCCATTCATATTAAGCAGCGTTGAAGTTGTACTTTGGTTAATCTCCAAAAATTTATTATTGCTTGAAATCTTTATTAATTTGTATGGGATACTGAGTTTCAAACTTCATGTTGTCGCTATCAGTGGCAGAGGATCAAAGGTCTTCTTAAAGAAATTATTATATTTGCACAATTCTAGCCATGTATTAATCATTCAACACTCACATCGTCATCTTGCGCGGTTCAATTATTATAATCTAATCAAATGGTGGTAGTTTAGTTGGTGCATGAGAGCTAAGCAGGTAGGGGTGAGAGCATTTGTTCGAATCTCTACAGTACCACTTTTGGAAGGAGTTTAAGACTTTAATCCTGGACCTGCCCCGAATCGGATTAGTTGCGAAACAATGAACCGATTGAAATATTTCTAAAAAATAATTATTATAATCTAAAGCCACAACTCATAAAATAGCTAATGTAATGTCCATTTCTTTCCATACGCAAAAGAAAATAATATTAGAAATGCTTTAATAAATAATCACACAGAGGCTTGTCTAAGAAACCCACCAACATCGGTCTATATTTCTAATTTGTCTAACTTACGTAAAGCTATATTTTATCCTCGTCAAAAGTTGCCAAATCTCGAAAGTTAAATCACCAAATCTACTTAAAAACTTTTAGTTGTTCACTATATTTCCATACGTTAGTAAGTATGGACCCAATTTTCTATTATTTCTATCATGGACTTTGTGGAAAAGAGAGAATTATCCCACTTCACCAAAACAACACTACTATGCTTTAGATGAAAACAATCTTCCAAGGTAAGCAACCTTATTTACAAAACAATAATTTTAAATAATTAAGAAAATACCAAAAAATTAAATTTTTAATTTTTTTTTATCACAACGAGTTTAACAGTTTTTGTTAATTCTTAAATAAATAAACAATTTCAATCACTCTTATCTATCTAATTGATAACCTTACATCTTAATAGAATTTCACAAGATTTTATTAAATTTTGGCATTACTCTAATTTATTTCTCCCATTGTATCAAACTTAACACTAAAATGCTTTTTTTTTTGGTGTGGAACACTAAAATGCTTTTATTACTATGTACCAAAACCAAAAGCAACCCACTGTCCAAAAGATATACCATAGTATACCGAGGGATCTGGACCGTTGATATATGATGTATGTAGTCTATGATTGCAACACGAAAGACTATTTAATACACTTTGTATGTTACACAATACTTAAATTAAAGAGGGATAAAATATTCAACTTATCTTTTTTTTTATTCTTATTTTATCTATTTATCTTTAATATTATTAGATCAGAATCTTAATTAATTTTTTTTTCTATCCTCTTGAGATTTTGATCCAATGGTGACTGGAAAAAAAAATAGACATAATAATCCATTCCAATTAAATGTGCATAAAAAAAAGGAAACACATGATTTCTTTAGTTTTTTTCTTTCCTTAAATCATCACCAAATACTTAAATATTTTTTTTGTAAAAAATATAAAAATAAATTCTAACAATGTAATTAGATAAAGAATAATTATACTTATTATCAACTAAATTTACTAACTCTTATTATCTTTTTTTGTAACCGTTAGACAGTGATATAGAGGCTTTTTTACCCTTATAACCCTTTATTATTAATTAATTACCGATTTGACCTTGATTATAAACTATTTCAAAAATTTAACCCCCTCAGAAAACATAACACCAATCTGCCCCTGTTTGACCGTTGACCACCAAGTCTACCCGGGTACACCCCTCTGTACCCGGGTATTTTTTGAAAATTTCTGTCTACCCGGGTAGGGAGGCGTGTACCCGGGTATTGTTCTTCGCACCTGAGAAATTGCTTGAATTATTTACCCGGGTAGAGAGGGGTGTACCCGGGTAAATCTTCAACCACCCGGTATGATTACTCTTTGGATCTCCCATGCACTCTTCTTCTCCAAGCTTTGAATATGGAGGCACCGACTATCACGTGCTCTGCCTCTGCAACTTTTTTGGGTCTGTAAAGCACACAAATATTTTTCAATGATTATTTCAGAAAGAGAATTCTTAGTTAACAGTATAAATCCACAACCACAAACCTTGTCCCATGCATGTCTTCCCTGAACGTGATAATTCGTCATTTACCAGTAAAATGAAAAGCTGCATGCTCACACTAAATTTCTGTACCATGAACCCTGTCTTTATTTTCTTTCCGTCTCACTCTCCCCAATAGACCCGGTACCACATTTATATATAGGAGCGCGATTTTGACGTACATAAAAGTAGACCCCATCATAATCGATACGAACAGGGACCGCTTTGATGAGCAGTAAAGTGTTGATGTATGGAAATTCCAAATCCATTCTCAAAGCTAAAAGCTCTTCAAATTGGTTAGGCATGCTTAACTTGATAATACTGATCTATCTCATTAGCTGTAAAAAAGAGAGAGAAAATACCAAATGGGTGGTCGAAGATTTACCCGGGTACACCCCTCTCTACCCGGGTAAATAATTCAAGCAATTTTTCAGGTACGAAGAACAATACCCGGGTACACGCCTCCCTACCCGGGTAGACAAAATTTTTCAAAAAATACCCGGGTACAGAGGGGTGTACCCGGGTAGGCTTGGTGGTCAACGGTCAAACAGGGGCAGATTGGTGTTATGTTTTCTGAGGGGGTTAAATTTTTGAAATAGTTTATAATCAAGGTCAAATCGGTAATTAATTAATAATAAAGGGTTATAAGGGTCAAAAAGCCGTGATATAGAATATGATGAAAAGAGGAAGATGAGAGAGTGCTTCAAGAAAGAGAATTTTTTTTTCTATCAAATAATAACAGTTGATTTGATTTTATCAAATAATTTTAAAAGAGATAATAAACTTAATTAATGATAAATATAATCTTAACAATAACCCTAATGAAATTAAAAAAAAAAGTACAACCCTAATCAAAAGATAACCCTAACCTCTCCCAATTAGATAACGAGAAAAGATTAGATTAATTTAGAGGGGCCCACATTGGTACGGTGGTCTTCATAACGGAGAAACAGCACTGGACGCGTTGTTATAGTGTCACTTCCCGCCGTTTCAGTGCTTGTCCGCATTTTATCACTGTTAAACCATGTCGTCTCTTTGATTCTCACGGAAAAAACGTGGTTCAATAGCAAACCCTAAAACCCTCTCTCTCTCTCTCTCTCTGTGTGTGTGTGTGTGTTTGTGCGTCAATGGAGCTTCGTTCTCGTCGACGCGTTTCCAACACCACGGTTTCCGGTAACGATATCTCTCTTCCTGTGATTTTGTATTTTTTATTTTCATTTTTTTTTGGCTTTTTGTTCGTTTCCATAGTTTGGATGTTGACTTTGTTGATCGCCGAGAAAATATTATTGAATTCTGAGCGTTCGGAATTTGGGGTGATTTCTTTCTTTTTTTCTTTCTTTTTTTGTCGTTTGCTCAAATGTTTTGAGCGAAATCTGAATCGAAATAATTAGGATGGACGCTCGATCGTCGGGTTCTTGTGTTGTTGAACACTTTATTGCGGTTAATTAGGCTTCGTTATGTATGGTGTTGAGTTGAGAATTGTTATTTCAAATGTCGCTGTTTACTTTGTGAAATCGTTGTTTATTGTGATGTTCAGCAGGGAAGGAGAAGCAACTGAGGGATGCCTCTGGGGATGTTGAAACTAATGGCCAGTGCAGCAATAATGCCGATGAAGGCGTTTCTGATAAATCTTCACATTCAGATTCTGATTTTGAAGGTGTATTTCTTGCCTTTCTTCCTTTTTTGAAATTTTTTGATGAGTTTCGTTTTAAGATATTGCAAGTGTTATCTACTTTAAAGGAAAGGATATCCCTGAAGTGTTTGTAATCTTAACTTGAGGAAATGCGTATGATCTAGTAATATGTCTATTTAGGATTCCAGTTAACATGTAATTGGACTTCGAATGAGAAGAAAGGAGAGTAAAATTTACCAGAAAACATTTTGGTTTCCTTTCCGTGGAAGAAAATTGAATTCCTTTTATACCTGCAAATTTAGTGGTGAATTTAATCATGGTGACATATCTGAAAGTGTTTTTTTTTTTTTTTAAAATAAATTTCCATACAGATGAAGAGTTTGGTGGGAACGTCCTTCTTGACTTGAATCAAGAACCGACTTCAAGCATTTGTATTTCTGATGGAGAAGATAATGCTTCTGATTTTTCTGATGGTAGCAAGCCTTTATCTAAAAGGGGAAAGGCACAGTCCAGAAAGAAAAGAAAAATATTGAACTTGAAAACTGGAGAACCGAGTGGTGTAGAGAAAATGGTGGAGGGTGGGGATGATGAGGACTATTCAATGCTTCTCCCTCAATCAGTTCCCATCAATTTGACTATGGCGAAAAAGAAGAAAAAAGCAAAAAAAACAAGAAAGGAAGATTCTCAGACAGTGTTATTGTGGCATGCTTGGGAAGAGGAGCAAGAGAAATGGATTGACGAGAATTTATTGGAAGATGTTATCATAGATCATCAGAGTGAAGTGATGAATGAAACTGCTGAGCCATCCTCAGATCTGACTATGCCTTTGCTAAGATACCAAAATGAATGGTTAGCTTGGGCTTTGAAACAAGAAAATTCTGCAACTAGAGGAGGAATCCTTGCTGATGAAATGGGAATGGGGAAGACTATTCAAGCGATTGCCCTTGTCCTTGCCAAACGTGAATTCCATCAAATGAGTTGCGAACCAGATGAACCCTCACCTTCACCAGAGTCATCTAGAGTCTTGCCTATGATAAAAGGAACACTTGTGATTTGTCCTGTGGTTGCTGTCACTCAGTGGGTCAGTGAGATTGATCGATTTACTTTGAAAGGAAGCACCAAGGTGCTGGTTTATCATGGGGCAAGGAGAGGGAAGAGTGCTGAACAGTTCTCGGAGTATGATTTTGTAATAACAACATACTCTATTGTTGAGTCTGAGTACAGAAAGTATATGATGCCTCCTAAGGATAAGTGTCCATATTGTGGAAAATTATTTTACCAGAATAAGTTATCTTATCACCAGAGGTATTTTTGTGGGCCTGATGCTGTTAGAACAGATAAACAATCAAAGCAACTTAAGAAAAAGAAAAGAGATGTTACTAAACAGAAAATCACAGAACCAGATTGTTGGAATGGAGAATTGGAACAGGGTTTTATTAAGAAGAAGGAAGAGGAGATGCGCTGCAGAAAAGAAGACCCAGATGCAATAGGCAGGGAGAAGTCATTTCTACATGCTGTAAAATGGCAGAGGATTATATTGGATGAGGTCAGTTGTGATAATGTACTATGGTTAAAACCTAATCAAATTATACTACTTCTCTCTCTCTTTCTAAATTTTGTTATTTTATGAAATGAAAGAGTTATTTTGTATCTTTTTGTTGTTCTGTTACTGCCACTTTCTCTATTTCTAAATTTTGTTTGCTTACTTTTTAATCATGTTATCTGTGATCTCCTACTTATTGTTATAGAAAATTTTAGTCCAAGTTTTTTGTTGTTGTCTTCGTAACACTATTTTTGTATTTCTTGTTGGTTCTTATTTAATTGCAATATTATGTTATGAAATCATCATTGTATGTTATTTGACTTAGGTACACTTCTATGTTTTTTAGGCGCACTATATAAAATCTAGACATTGCAACACTGCAAAAGCAGTTCTTGCTTTAGAGTCTTCCTATAGATGGGCATTAAGTGGTACACCCCTTCAGAACCGTGTTGGAGAGCTGTATTCTTTGGTAAGTTTACAATCTTTTGGCTGTAATCTATCAATTTTGTGTTTTTGATATAATTTGTTAAGTACCAGCTCTTCCTAAAAGCTGTTAGGTGGAGGATAAGGAATGGTTTTATATCTCATCTCCAGTATAAATTAACTACAATGCCACGTATGCAGGTACGGTTTCTGCAGATAGTTCCTTATTCCTATTACCTGTGCAAGGATTGTGATTGCAGGACACTTGATCATAGGTATGGCTTACATTCAATATATTTAATGAACCGTGCGGATTCTAATTTGGCAGGCAATAGTTGTATTTGTGAACTTGATAACTTAACTTATTCGTAAGGGCTTGATTATTATTATTATTTTTGTTTTGTTTATCCCTCTCTTGACTTTAAGAAAGGAACTGATTGTCAACTTGTTCTCATATTGTTTAATATCAATCAAAAGCCTGCTTGAAACTTTGAAGACTTATTGAATCTATTGGGTGCCATTCATGTGGAACAGAGAAGAATGTCCTTTTATCGAGAGAATAATTCATTATATTAAATATTTAGACATTATATTTAAATAATTATACCCATGTTTCAGACTTTGCAATGTTGAGCTTTCTGTAACATCTCAGTCTTTCTGTACTGCTTTCAATTACTTAATCATTATACTAATGGGTTGTGTCCATAAGGTTCATGCATAGGCATATTTGCTTGTAGATTATTGAATTGTTGACTATGTTATCCCGGTGCCCTTGTGCAGCTCTTCTAAACAATGTTCAAACTGCTGCCACAGTTCTGTTAGACACTTCTGTTGGTGGAACAAAGTAAGTTCTGCAATTTGATGGCTTTTTTTATGTTCACCATTTCTGTAATTTCATAGAAATTGTTTTAGCTGACATGACATGTTCTTTACTATTCATGTTTAATCTTGATTAGTATATTGCCACACCAATTCAATCATATGGATATGGTGATTGTGGAAGAAGAGCTATGATATTGCTTAAAGACAAAATTTTAAAGAACATAGTTCTAAGGCGCACTAAAATAGGCAGGGCTGCTGATCTTGCTCTTCCGCCTAGAATTGTAAGTTCTTATTTCCCATGTGGTGGCTAAGTGTGCAGGTCTGAATATGGAAGGATTGCATATTTATTTTTGCTACATTTCTATTTGCAGGTTTCTTTGAGGCGGGATAGCCTGGATATAAAAGAGCAAGACTATTACGAATCGTTATACAATGAAAGTCAGGCTCAGTTTAATACGTATGTCACATTCTTGATATTAAATCTTACTGCAAAATATGGTAAAGCTGTTTGCTCTTTGAAAAATGTGAAATAATGCTTTTGACAAGGGGATGAATTCCTTGATCAAATCACCGAGTTATGAATCGTCAAATGTTCCTTTTGTTATTTGAGGGTAGTCTGATGTGTCAACACATAAGCCAGAAAATCCCATCAGAAACTTTTACCTAGCATCTGGTTAGTTGGGTTTGGCTTACCATGCCTTGACTGAAATGTATGGGTTGCCAAACTGGTTTACATGTGATTCCTAGAGGAATATAATTAGTTTGTTAACAGCCAATGGGTTTAGTGTCATGTATTCTCCATGTTTTTATGATGATATTCCATTACAACTCATTATCATGATTATTTGTTGTAACCTTAATTCCTTTTTCTTGTTTTTTCCACTTCTCAATTGGAAGGAAGAGGGAGGAGAAGAAAGACGTGAGGGGGAAAAGGATGGTTAATAAACATTGGTTAAGCTGCTTCTGGATATCTCTCATGTCTATAAATTAATTTGTTCCCTTTTATTGGGTTTTTTTTTTTTTTTTTTTTTGGTTGGCGTAGGAAATTGGTTACACAACATTGTCTGGTCCTTCTGTTTTACTTTTTTTTTTTTATATAATTTTTTTAATATTTGGATGATATATTGGAATTGAAGAAAATGAATGAGTTGTTTTTTGATTATATACACTAATCTCTCTTGTTTAATTACCTGTTTGTCCATTCTATTCTTGTGAAGAACCTTGGGATGCACCACCCCAAAAGCTAGCTCAAAGGGTGGGAGTGCCCAAAGCCTTATAAACTTCACATTAGTTGCACATACAACCAATGTGGGACTATATATCTCAACACGTCCCCTCACACAAGAGCCCATTGGGCTTGAAGAGTGGACAATGCAACAGGCCCAGTCTACCTGTGCTAAGAAATGCCACAAGAGAAAGTGGGGGGCGGCGAGGCTCTGATACCATGTGAAGAACCTTGGGATGCACCACCCCAAAAGTTAGCTCAAAGGGTGGGAGTGCCCAAGGCCTTATAAACTTCACATTAGTTGCACATACAACCAATGTGGCTCAAAGGGTGGGAGTGTCCAAGGTCTTATAAACTTCACATTAGTTGCACATACAACCAATGTGGGACTATATATCTCAATACGCCCCCTCGCACAAGAGCCCATTGGGCTTGAAGAGTGGACAATGCAACAGGCCAGTCTACCTGTGCTAAGAAACCCCACAAGAGAAAGTGGGGGGCGGCGAGGCTCTGATACCATGTAAAGAACCTTGGGATACACCACCCCAAAAGCTAGCTCAAAGGGTGGGAGTGCCCAAGGCTTTATAAACTCCACATTAGCTGTGCACATACAACCAATGTGTGACTATATATCTCAACAATTCTTACCATTTATTTAATAATGGAAAAAATTCTTCTTTTTTGATTTAACTGTGCATAATTTTAATAGTTGGGTATAAACATTATACTTTTGATACACCAACATTAATCCTGACATGGTTTTATTGATATGCTTTCTCCTTTTCAGATATGTAGAAGCAAATACTCTGATGAATAATTATGCTCATATATTTGACCTCCTCACACGGCTGCGTCAGGTGAATGATTTTTCTAATGGAATATGGATCAAAAAAGAACTTTGAGAACTTCTGCTTCCTTTGAGTGATTCCTTTTCCCTCTTTAAATTTTGATAAATTTTCATGAAGAATGATCTGCATTTCTATAATGGACATTCTGGAAATATTGGCCATCCATAACTAAGGAATTTTGAAGTTCTTGAATTTCTATTTGTTTGATCATGTTTCTAAAATTGTTGAGTTTTTTATGTTAGTGATTCTCGATTTGAATCTAACAATAGTGTTGAAGTTAGTTTTGCAATAAAAAGGAATAGCCTGAACTTCAGCATATAGCTTATCGAGTATGAAGTCTTCTCACTGAGCTTTTAATTTTAAAAAATTCTTTCAAATCAAACTCTTACGCTACAACTGGTGTACGAGGACATGTCAACAACAATAATTATAAGTTGTAAAAAAGTGTAGGATAACAATTCATTCCTTTAATTTTAAAACTGAGTGATCTGTTTGAAATATGGTTATATGCTCACTTTATTTCGGTACTCATTTTTCATCTGGGAACTGGTAAGTTAGTTTCCTTCGTTTTTATTAAAAAAAAATATTTAATTTGTACTCTTGTTCTGCCTCTGGAAGGTGTTTTTTTGGCCCATGCGTCTCATACATCTCTGGCTTTTATACAGGCTGTTGATCATCCATATCTTGTGGTTTATTCTCCAACTGCAGCATTACGAGGTGGGAACTCGGCTAGTAATGGTGGTAATGTTGAACAAGCATGTGGCCTTTGTCATGAAGCAGTAGAAGATCCTGTGGTAAGTTCATCTTTTTTTTCTTTTTCTAAATAAACTTATTTATGTCATTATTTCATTCTATATTTTATTATGTTTCCCCTTTATTTGTGTTTTCATACTTGTTTAGTTGTATACAGAAAAGATACTGCTGTCAATTTTAGTGTGCTACTGATTTTCCTTCACATTCATTTTCCTTACTGTTTCAGGTTACCTCTTGTGAGCATATTTTTTGCAAGGCATGCTTGATAGACTTCTCTGCTTCCCTGGGAAAAGTATCATGCCCCTCTTGCTCTAAATTACTTACAGTTGATCTAACTTCCAACAAGGATGTTGGGGTTCATGCTGATAAAGCAACAATTAAGGGATTCAGATCCTCAAGCATTTTAAACAGAATTCAGATAGAGAACTTTCAGACAAGTACTAAAATAGAGGCATTGGTATGTATCGTAAATTTGTTGCTTGATACACTTTTTTCGGTTTCTTCATGTCTGGCAAGTATGAGTAGTTCCACAATCTTTTGTTGGCTTTTCCTTTTACTAATAAGAGTACAATTGAGGAATGGTTTAGTGTACTTTAGAAATTCATATGTTGCATGCTTGGCAAAAGGAATTTTTGTTGTCATTACTTCTTTTTGACTTGAAAAAATCCGATTGCTTACACATATTCTGAAAGTTTATGCAGCTGAAAGGATATGATTGTTGAGATTTTGTTTATTTATTTATTTTGGGTCGGGTGGGGTGGGGTAAGGGTGGAATGGGGTGGGGAGGGGAGGTGTGAGACTAGCATTTGAACAAGTATAGGATGAAACTGAAATAATGCTTCTATGGATGGGAAAGAAAAAAGAATGCTCTTATTAGTTGGTCTATATTCTATGTTCTATGCATACCTTTGACAATCTTTCTTGTTACTCGTACCTGAATGAGTTGAAATGGTTGTAGAGAGAAGAAATTAGATTTATGGTTGAAAGGGATGGTTCTGCCAAAGGGATTGTTTTTAGCCAGTTCACATCATTCTTGGATCTCATAAACTACTCCTTGCACAAGGTAAATATTCTTGGATCTCATTTTCTGTTTTCTGTTATTTTCTGTGACAATAACATGGTGAGCTAATTGCAGTCAGGTGTATCTTGCGTTCAACTGAATGGAAGCATGTCATTGGCTGCCCGAGATACTGCCATTAAGAGATTTACTGACGATCCAGACTGCAAAATTTTTCTGATGAGCTTGAAGGCTGGAGGTGTTGCTCTCAATTTGACAGTAGCATCACATGTGAGCAATCTCCTTTTGCATGTTTGTGTTAAAATTTTGATACCTTTTGCATGTTTGTGTTAAAACTTTTGGTATTCTGCTGTGTTGAATTTTGAGTTAAGTTGTAAAGTAGCTGGAAATGTGTTAGGTGTCGCTTTGTACGAGAAATTTGTTGCAAAATATTTGTTGAATTTTGTACGAGAAACTATGCAATCCATTTTCTGAATCAGTTCATATGTTCTAGAGTTCTATGTAGCATTTGGTAGATGTATTAGAATGGGACGGAACATACTATACGAGTTCTATCTATGTTTGGTTTATTTTAAAAATAGAACAGAACAGCACATGGGGTAAAAAATTCACACATTTTGGTTCCCCTATAAAGGGTGGAACCAAAAGGAACAGAACATAACATTGTGTTCTGTTTGCGTTTCAAACACTACCCTAGTGTATGGTTTAGCTGCATTAATTGGGTCAATCTAAATGCTTTTTCTTTTGTCATTGTTAAGCTGATTTTTCTTTCTTGGTTAACACGTGGCTTCGTTTGTTGGGCGGTGTGCACAGGTTTTCCTTATGGACCCATGGTGGAACCCTGCGGTGGAGCGTCAGGCTCAAGACAGAATTCACCGGATAGGGCAATACAAACCCATCAGGTGCTGCTTCTTGAACTCAACACTTTTAAGTGAAAACAAAATAGATGTAAGGTTAATTGATAAACAGGTAAGTTAGTGTTTGACATTATTTTCATGTACAGAATTGTGAGATTTGTCATTGAAAACACCATTGAGGAGAGGATTTTGAAGCTGCAAGAGAAGAAGGAACTAGTGTTTGAAGGGTAAGTTTTACATGTGAACAGGCTTGAAAGGTGCTGCATATTTTGCCATGATAAGTAATGACATTTTCTTTCTTGTCCCTCCCTTTATAGGACAATAGGCGGCTCTTCTGAGGCTTTGGGGAAATTGACGGAGGCTGACTTAAAATTTCTCTTTGTCACCTAAGCAGGCCTGTTATTTTGATGGGAAAATCTGTTGCTACTTCTAATGTCTATGCGCGGTAAATGCATTATAGCTGTAAATAGGTATATCGGCTATTTTGCCCACTGGAAAAGAAACGTGCGACGCTGCTGTTGAATGTGAATCAGTGGGATTTTGATGCACCATGATTTCTATTCAAACTACCCATCGTATTGGGTGTCAAATGTAACTTTTGAGAGATAAGTTAGCTCGTCAGATATATAAACCATAAAGATGTCCTGGAGTTGTCGGAGATTGAATCTTCGTTATCACAAGTAATGCCTAGCTGTTGATTGAAGTTTATATGTTTTGAGTTTCCGTAGCTGTCGATGGAGGTGACCATTGCCTGTGATACAAATGAGTAAACAAGGATGGCACCCTATGGGATACTTATGGCCTTTTTCAGTTTTGGCTGTTGCGTAGCATTGATTTTATTCTTAGACACATCGGAATGCTGGCTATCTGTAGTTTTGATTGTTGAACCTACCGAAGTTAGTCCCTCACATTTTAGTAATCTGTAACGAATTGACCTAAAAAGACATGAATGAAACTATCTTCTTATGAAATTTAACCAATGGATCTTCCCTTCAACTTTGTTCACGAATTCCAGTCATTATGATTTTGTACTCAAATGTTTATTATTCATCTTAATTAAATATATTAATTATATCCTAAAATAACTAAATATTTAAGGCTTAATAATTTTAAAATTTAAGAAACCAAATAGGAAAAACATGCATATTTTAACGACCAAGTAACTAGTTTTAGGGGGCGTTTGGTTGAGGAGAAATTTTTGGATTACTAGGTAAATGTAATTGATAGGGAAATGGTGGGAAAATGAGTTTGGTAGGAAAATATAAAAAAAGTTGTTTGGTTGGAAAAAAAATTACCGAGTAAATTAGGTAAGATTTATAAAGTCTATGTTTGGTTTGAGGTAAAATATAGACGGGAAAATAAGTGACAATTACAAAAATAACCTATGTTTCTCTCTCATTCTCAAACACATTCACTTCAGTTCTCACTTTTATTCCCTTCTTCTCACCCTCTCCTTGCCCTCTGCATCAATCTTCACACCATTTTCAAGAGTTTGCCCTTCTCTCGGCTTCGATCCCAAAATCAGATGTACAAAGTGGTGGCAAGTACCATGGTTGTGCATGCTGCGACCAAGCAGCAATCAAATCAAGGCAATGAAGCAAGTCACAACATGAAGGGAAGCAATGGAGTTGGTAATAATGGTAAGCAAGGCAAACAATTGAACTAGCAAAGCTTGAATTTTCACAGAGTAGTTTGAATTTTTCACTTTCCAATTTAGATGGCTATCGACTAAAACCCACATCCAAGATAGCTTTCTCAACAATTCAAATGCCCTGCTTTCTGGACCAAATGGAGAAATCTCATGCAAATGGGATAGATGGACATCCTTGCAAAATCTGTCTACCAAACGAAGTCTTTGAAGATTGTCAAGTTCATTTGCCTAGTTAAATTGTAGAATCTCTTGAATCAAACAGGACCTTATTGAAAAATATTTTTGGCTGAAATGATCTTAGGCTGATTCAAATTAATAAAGAAGACTTCAACTAACAAAATAATAATAATGATAAATAGCGTGTGTTGGTTTAGCCTCGTGGATTTGTGGGAGTCCAAACAGTTATTTGAAGCATTGAAAGTGATGAAATATTGTTGGGTATTCATATCACATACTCACATCATTTACATTATATTTTCCTCAATAAACATTATAAAATAACATTTCGTTACTTCAAATATTCAAAAAAAGAAACAAGTATATTTCCCGGAAATTCTTTTAACTTTTTTTATTACAGTCTAAATAGAATACCACACATCTAAAAGTAATTTCCTTTCGGGTAAGGCATTTAAATGTAATTTTATTAATTGATATATTATAATAGCAACATAAATAACAAAATAAGTTTGAAATGAAAATTCAAGTTTAGAAAGAAAAAAAACACTTGTAAGTTGTAACCGGCACCAGGTGTTAAATCATGTTCATTGGACCAGCACAGTCACAGTGAACCGACACGCTTCTTGTCTTGTATGTTGTCTTTATCATTCTGCGAGTGAGAGACAATATTGAAGATTCTTAGAAGAAGAAGAAGAAGAAGAAGATGTTGCAGCTACTCTACACTGCGATTTTTGGCGAAATGCTTCTAATTCTTACCCTCGTTTTCAAGACCCCACTAAGGAAACTGGTCATCATTACCTTGGATAAGGTCAAGCGTGGTCGCGGTCCCGTCGTCGTCACCACCGTGGGTGCCACCTTGGTGGTGGTGTTTTCTTCCAGCCTCTATAGCATGGCCAAGATCCAACAACGCACCATCGAGGCCGGTGTAGTTAACCCCACCGATCAAGTTCTTATGTCCAAGCACATGCTCGAAGCTTCTTTAATGGGTATCTTTCAGTTTCCCTCCTTGACAACCTTTGGTTATTCAAAAGGCCTACTTTGATTTGAAACTAACCCCCCTTTTCTTACTAGGGTTGTTAGTTTAGGTTAATTGAGTGGTAAAATTATTTGAATTTGAATTTTATTTTATTTTTAATCGTGGAAAAAAGGGAAATTCCTTGAAGGACTAATTACTAGACAAAGTGTGACAATTTTAGCTACGATTTGATTTTTTGATCAAGTAATTGTGAACATTGTGCTAACTGTCACTGCGCTGATGTTATTATCTTTATCTGTAATAAATGCTATATGTGGTCACAGCAGCAGGTGAGTTGAGAAAGGTGTTGTTTTATGCATAGTTAGTCAATGTTGATTTTCATTGATATGTAGGAGCTTTTTATTCAATGCTATTTGGTGTTCTACACTGGTCTGAGTGTCTGACTTACATGATGAATGCTGCACATGAGCTTCACTTCCTTGGTATCTGATTTAACAATTAACATCAGATTATTCAATATTAGGTGGGTTGTTTCAAACTTTCATGTAAATGGGTTTTTGTTTCGGGTGGGAATGGTTAAGGATGTCTTAGGAAGGGGGGATGTGAATGTGGGACTTCAGTCATCAGTTGATTGCTTGAAAATTTAAGAGTATTTGTGGTAAGCAATATCTTCTTCTACTCGGTTATTGGCCTATTCGGTTATAATCTTTCATGATCTAATTTGATAACACTCTGGATATTTCATGGTTATGCATAGAAACCTTCTCAATGTATTGGAGTGTTGATTATTTTAACTGTGAGATGTTAAGAAGTATAGATTTGGCAAGGATTAACAAGAAAAAATGGCAGATGATTCCAATAAAGAGACAAGTACCAAAAAAAAAAAAAAAAAAGATGAAGGAGAAACAATGATGGGGTGTTGAATATCACTTCTAAATTGCTGATATCGATATGATTTGATTGATTGCTCACAACCTTTTAGATTATAAAGTTTTGAATTTCATACGTGTCTTGCTATAATTTAGTTGCCCAGCTTATTTGTTAATATTTTTCTCCACAATACTTTCAAACTATAAATCTGAATAATGAATTGGTGGTGACTGTGGTAATCTGGAACTTTGTGATATAACTCATATAAGCACTTTTGTTTGATATATTGCTAACAGTGAATGCCTTTTTTATTTTATTTTTTAGTGGAAGACGTGGTATAAGATTATGTCATGATATCATTGACTAGCTTGACTGGTATTGTTTTGTTTCCTTGGCATAGATACTTCAAACAACAAGAAGAACCTTTTCACACTTAGTGGGCTAAATACATGGATTAAACATAATTTTGTTTGCTCAAAAATCAAGTTTTAGAAAATGACTGTTTAGATCTAGGGGTTTTTCTAATGGTTTCTGTTGTTGTACATAGTATAGAAGTCCCACATTGAGTGTGTCTCTTTGTATTCTTCAATTGGTTTGCTATATAATAGCACCAATGTTGTGTAGTTTAATAGAACAAGGATTACAATGAATACCTCTTGTCTCTTGGTGATTAACATGGCATCTAGAGCCTAACAAGAGGAATCCTAATCCGCGTTTTTTTTTTTTCGGTGGACCACTGTCTGCTGAGTAAAATATTTTTTTTTCCCCCGGCAACAGTCATATCTGTCAGTTTCCGGCTTCCGTATATAGTCTACGGACCTGTCTGATCACTGCCGCCATTAGGCACCACTGTCCACCGCCGTTGACCGCCGTCCACCGCCGTCTCCGGCGACTTTTCCGGTGAAACCCATATCGATTTGATCGCCACGAGAAGGCGCTCCTTTCTGTCCAGGACCCATCCTCAGATCCTCCTCCACGCGCTCTCACGCGCGTCATACAGTGGCTGAAACCCGTTTTGTTGCAGCGGCGCGTCCCACTCCGGTTGGCCGTCGGACCACCACGGTTCCCTTCGTCTTCTCCTTGCGCACTTGGATCTGTCCTCACTTTGTTGTTTCGACTTCGTTTCGGCTTCCTACAGTGTCTTTTCCCTTGCTGGTCACTATTCACAGGCGGTTCTTTGCTTTTCGTTGCTGGTCCCATCGCTGGACTCTGTTTGGTCTACGTTGCTTCGCATTCCACCTAAGACTTCTATGGAGCCTGCAGTATCTGCTCCCTCTTCAATTGACCCATCTGCCCTTGTCTCCAAGGGTTTTGCACGTGGAAGCAAACCCTCTACGGGACGCTTTCTCTGCACTCATTGCAAAAAGCCGGGCCATACTATTGATCGTTGCTGGGATCTTCACGGTCGCCCTCCTCGCTCCGCTCATTTTGCTCAGACTACTGTTCCTGCCTCGGACTCTGCCTTGATTGCTGGATCACAGCCACCTCCTGGTACCACTGCCTCTAGTGCACACACGGGTAATTCCTTTGCTGGTGTTTCTCACTCGCCTTCTCTTGGTCCATGGATTCTCGATTCTGGTGCATCTGACCATATTTCTGGTAATAAGTCTTTATTTACCTCTCTCTGTACGTCTGGTCCCCTGCCCAGTATCACTATGGCTAATGGGTCACTGGTTCAGTCCCAAGGGATTGGCACTGTTCTCCTTTTTTCTTCTATTCCCATTGAGAATGTGCTTTATGTTCCTCATTCTCCTTTCAACCTTGTTTCCATTAGTCGCTTGACTCAATCCCTTGACTGTATTATTTCTTTCACTAAAGAGTCTGTCATTTTGCAGGATCGGAGCTCGAGGAGGACACTTGGCGTCGGATTTGAGTCCAATGGCCTTTATCAGCTTTCAACTTCTGTTCTAGTGTGCTCTGTTGTGGATTCTCCGCTTACTATCCACGCTCAGTTGGGTCATCCAAATCTTGCAAAGCTCCAGAAGATGGTCCCACGTTTCTCAAATGTATCTAGTTTGTCTTGTGAGTCGTGTCAGTTAGGGAAGCACACTCGTAGTTCGTTTCCCGATCGTGTCAGTTGTCGGTCTTCGTCTCCTTTTGCTTTAGTTCATTCAGATATTTGGGGTCCTAGTCGTACCGTTTCCACTATGGGGTACAAATATTTTGTCACTTTCATCGATGATTATTCTCGATATACTTGGTTATTTTTAATGAAAAATCGGTCTGAATTGTTTTCTATTTTTAACAAGTTCTTTAATGAAATCCTTACTCAATTTGGTGTTTCGATTCGCATTTTTCGAAGTGACAATGCTCGTGAATATTTGTCTTATCAGTTTCAAACCTTCTTTGCATCTCACGACATCCTTCACCAGACATCATGTTCACACACCCCTCAACAGAATGGGGTTGCTGAACGCAAGAACCGTCACCTAATTGAGACTACTCGAACACTTTTGTTACATGGTCATATCCCATTCCAATATTGGGGCGATGCTGTCCTCACAGCTTGTTATCTCATTAATCGGATGCCTTCCTCCGTACTTCATAATCAGGTACCACATTCTGTGTTGTTTCCCCATCAACCTTTGTACCCACTCACTCCTCACATCTTTGGTTCTACTTGTTTTGTCCACAATCTCAGTCCTGGTCTTGACAAGTTATCTGCTAAGTCACATAAATGTATTTTCCTGGGTTACCCTCGCTCACAAAAGGGTTATCGTTGTTATTCTCCTAGTCTTCGTCGTTACTTTGTCTCGGCGAATGTTACATTCTTTGAGTCTATTCCATTCTTTGACTCCTCCTCCCATCCTACCTTTACCACCTGTTTCAGTTCACTATATACATTCACCATCTCCTTCTTTCGATGTCCCCGTCCCTGTTCCCGCCCCTGTTCCCCCCCTCCAGGTCTATCATCGCCGGCAACGTCCCCCTGTTCCCCAGGACCCTGCCCCCACCGAGTCTGCCCCTATTATTACTGAGGCTCCTGTGGACTCACTTCTGTCATCATCTCCTCCGGCAGCTCCGATCCTTCCGTCTGACATTGATGTGCCCATTGCACTCCGGAAAGGTACTCGTGATTCTCGTCCCCCTCCCAGGTATTTAATAAATTTGAGTTATCATCGTCTTTCAACATCCCATTTTGCTTGCCTCTCTTCTCTTTCTTCTGTATCTGTTCTTAAGACTACAGGTGAGGCGTTATCACATTCTGGTTGGCGACAGGCCATGATTGATGAGATGAGTGCACTTCAGAGTAGTGGTACCTGGGATCTGGTTCCCCTTCCCTCTGGGAAGTCTGTTGTTGGCTGTCGATGGATATACACGGTTAAAGTTGGTCCGGATGGTTAGGTGGACCGTCTTAAGGCCCGCTTGGTGGCTAAAGGTTATACTCAGATATTTGGCCTTGACTATGGTGACACTTTTTCTCCCGTGGCGAAAATGACTTCTGTTCGCCTCTTTATTACTATGGCAGCCATTCATCACTGGCCTATGTATCAGCTGGACATAAAGAATGCTTTCCTCCATGGTGATCTGCGGGAAGAGGTTTATATGGAGCAACCTCCTGGGTTTGTTGCTCAGGGGGAGTCTAACCTAGTTTGTCGTCTCCGAAGATCCTTGTATGGTCTAAAGCAGTCTCCCCGGGCTTGGTTTGGAAGGTTTAGCACTGTTGTGCAGCAGTTTGGCATGACTCGAAGTGAGGTTGATCACTCAGTCTTTTACAGACACTCTGATTCAGGTTCTATTTATTTGGTAGTATATGTTGATGATATCGTCATTACAGGTAATGATACTCATGGCATAACTCAGATAAAACAACATTTGTGCCATCATTTTCAAACAAAGGACCTTGGAAGACTCCGATATTTCTTAGGGATAGAAGTGGCCCAATCCAAAGATGGCATTGTACTATCACAGAGGAAATATGCTATGGATATTCTTGAGGAAACAACATTGTTAAATGCTAAGCCCGTTGATACTCCTATGGATCCAAATGTCAAGCTTTTACCAAATCAGGGGGAGCTATTTTCTGATCCAGAAAGGTATAGAAGATTGGTTGGGAAACTGAACTATCTCACAGTTACTCGACCAGACATTTCCTTTGCAGTCAGTGTAATAAGTCAGTTCTTGAATTCTCCCTGTGAAGATCACTGGAATGCAGTAATCCGTATTCTCAAGTACATCAAGACTGCTCCTGGCAAAGGTCTTCTCTATGAAAACAAAGGTCATACCAGAGTTGTAGGATACTCAGATGCTGATTGGGCAGGTTCTCCTATTGATAGAAGATCCACTTCTGGGTACCGTGTATTCGTTGGAGATAACTTGATTTCCTGGAGAAGTAAGAAGCAAAGTGTAGTTGCTAGATCAAGTGTTGAAGCAGAATATCGCTCCATGGCCACAGCTACCTGTGAACTCATCTGGTTAAAACAGCTACTGAAGGAACTCAAGTTTGGAGACACTGGCCCAACATCTCTCATTTGTGATAATCAAGCTGCTTTGTATATAGCTTCAAATCCAGTGTTTCATGAAAGGACTAAGCACATTGAGATAGATTGTCATTTCCTTAGGGAAAAGGTTCTCTCAGGAGATATAGTCACTCGTTTTGTCAACTCAAATGATCAATTAGCTGATGTATTTACTAAGTCTTTGAGAGGACCTAGGATAGACCAGATATGTAACAAGCTTGGTGCATACGATCTATATGCTCCAGCTTAAGGGGGAGTGTTGTTGTACATAGTATAGAAGTCCCACATTGAGTGTGTCTCTTTGTATTCTTCAATTATTTTGCTATATAATAGCACCAATGTTGTGTAGTTTAATAGAACAAGGATTACAATGAATGCCTCTTGTCTCTTGGTGATTAACAGTTTCTCTTACAGGTATCCTTGGTCTTCCTCTATCTCTATTTTTTGGGCTTTCTTCCATATGATCAACTCTTTTAATCGGATGGGACTTGGGGCCTCTATTGATCTTCTCATCACATGAACCAACCATCTTAAGCAATTTTTTGTCATCTTTACCTCTAGGTGTTAGTCTTACTTTCTTTCTAACACATTCATTCCTATTCTCATCTTTTCTAGTATGTTCATTCATGCTACACTTAGGTTATGCTCTTGTTGGCACTTCATCGCCCCAACATTCAGTAGTATAAAGCATCACTAGTTTTATAGCTGTTTGGTAAAATTTTCCTTCTAGTTCAAGAGACACCTTTATCACAAATAACACATGAAGCATTTTCTCCATTTCATCCACCTAGCTTGAATCCTATAATTTACATCTCTCTGTATCTCCATCCTCATCGCGTGTGATAGTTCCAACCTTGGCATAAATACTTAATTTATTATTTTTATTTTCATTTTTTTCCGTTACATTATATATATTTGCATCTACTCTCTTCAGCAAGTTCAATGTATTAGATCTAATATACCAGTTACCTTGTGTGAACCATGCAAACAGACTTAAAGTTTGTTTTTATACTTGCCACTTTTATTGGGTAGTTTATGGTAAACTCCCATCTCTTGCTTTAGAGAGGGTATCATTCTGTCATATGTTTGTGTTTTCTTCTTTCCCATTGCAGATTTTTTCCTTGCTATTTTTGTATTTTCTGTTTCTAAGATTCCCTTATATGTAATTTTTTTTTTCTGTTTTTTTTTTCTCTCTTATATTTTTGTTGGGGTTGGTTTAGCTGTTATTTATGTCATGAGTGTTATTAGTTGGATGCTTCTTTATTTACTGTAGTTTTGTTTTGTCATTTTATTCATTCTCAGATACTTTAGTTCTTGTTGAATTTGATTTTTCACATATAATGTGTGCAGGGTTTGTACTTTTCCTCTCTCTGATGATTGATAGATTGCACAATTACATAAGAGAACTTCGTTTACTGAGGAAGACCGTGGAAGCTGTTAAGAAACAAAGCCGAAATTTCGAGGACGATAAAAATGGCAATACAGAGGAGCATAAAGCATTGGCAGAAGAAATTGCCACATTGAATTCCAAAGTTAAGAAACTGGAATCTGAATGTGAAGTGAAAGGAAATAAGGCTAAGGATTTGGAAACTGAAGTAGAGACTCTTAAAAAGCAATCTGAGGAGTTCCTTATGGAATATGATCGCCTCTTGGAAGACAATCAGAATCTTCGGAGTCAATTGGAGACCATTGACCAGAGCTCTATGCATGTTGATAATAAAAAGAGTATTTAATCGCTTTGGAGAATGAGGTCACAGTTTCATACACTTATGTGTATAAAGACAGATATGAGCTATGTGGATTGAATGAACTTACTATACTTAAAGCATTTCACAGTCACCTTTTAACCTTATTGTTGATGTATAATGTCAAGTAGATTATCAAGGAACGGTTACTGCCTTAGGTGGATTTTGAGCTATAATATTCATAGTTGCCATGCAACTATGCATCAGTCAGTGAACTTGGAAAATTATGGTGGTTAACGTGCACAATGGGTATAAGATCAATATTCAAATGAATGCATGTACTAGGTTAGCCTAATGGTGTGTAATGTTCGATTTTCATTGTAATTAAAAAATAAAATAAATCAACACGTATTCAAGAAATGGTTCCATCGCCACATCCAATAAGAGTTAAGAATGAAGATTAGATTCGTAGCCAGCAAGTTGGACCCGTAAAATTGAAATGTAGCATTCATATAGACACTACATCAAATCAAAATGTTAAAAATCAGTGTCAAAATTGGTAGACCAGTTACTGACTGTAGCATCTAGAGAGACGCAAAACTCACAACCATGTCGAGATCTACGGCAAAAAAATTTATTTTATATTTTAATAAATTAATTACTCATTTATTACAGTTTTAAAAATAATTATATATTTATTGCACAATAAGACGCCCATTTTGGGCGTCACCAATGACGTCTAAATTGAGCGTCACTGAAGAGGCAATCACACTTAAATTTGAGCGTCATTCATCAGGTGTTAACACGTGTTATATTTTTTTTCTAAAAATAATAATAATTTAATCATAAAACTTCTAAATGTCATAACTTTTGACTCGGGTATCCAAATCAGGTAATTCTTTTTTTGATTCCACATAACTTTTCGAGATCTACGCAGTGACATCTCATTTGACAAATTTTATTTCTCACAAACACAATTTAAATTTGCAAAGAATGATATTATAAGAACAGTTAAACCCAGAAGCCTCTGAGTTCTGGGTTTGTGATTTAATATTAAAAAATAAATAAAATTTTGATTTGTGATTTAATTTTTTTTTAAAATAATTTTTTTATTATAAAAAAATTTTGGTTTGTGATTTAAATTAAAAATAAAAAAAATAATTATTATTAATAAGGAATACAAAATAAAGATTTGATTTGTGATTTAAACTAAAAATTCAATTTGAAAAATCTGTAAAAATAAAAGAAATAATTAAATAAATATTCTAAATCTCTAAGGAGGAAGAAGAATATTATTTTTGAAATTAACAATTAATGCTATAAGCTTCTGGGTTATTATTCATGGTCGGAAATTAATAATGGCTTATGAATGTTTTTCAAAAATAAAATTACTTAAATTAGGCGTGATTGCCTCTTGATTGAAATTCAATTTATACGTGATTGGTGACGTGTCAGGTGTTGACACGTGTCACATTTTTAAACTCAGAAGCCTCTGAGTTATGGGTTTGTGTTTAATATAAAAAATAAATCAAGATTTGATGTGTGATTTAAATTAAAAAATAATTTTTTTTATAAAAAAAAATTTGGTTTGTTATTTAAATTAAAAATAACAATTTTTATTAATAAAGAAAACAAAATAAAGATTTTATTTGCGATTTAAACTCAAAAATAAATTTGAAAAATCTGTATTAATAAAGAAAATAATTAAATAAATATTCTAAATCTCTAAGGAAGAAGAATTTTATTTTTGAAAAACATTCATAAGGCATCATTAATTTCAGACTACAAATCAAATCACAAATCAAATTTTTATTTATTTATTTTAATTTAAATCACAAATCAAATCTTTATTTATTTTTTCATATTAAATCACAAACCCAGAACTCGGAGGCTTCTGGGTTTAACCGCTCTTATAATATCATTATTGCAAATTTAAATTATGTTTGTGAGAAATAAAATATATCAAATGAGATGTCTTTTTCATATTAAATCACAAACCTTGAACTCAGAGGCTTCTGGGTTTAACCGCTCTTATAATATCATTCTTGCAAATTTAAATTATGTTTGTGAGAAATAAAATATATCAAATGAGATGTCATTGCATAGATCTCGAAAAATTATGTGGAATCAAAAAAAGAATTACCTGATTTGGATACCTGAGTTAAAAGTTATGGTCTTCAGAAGTTTTATGATTAAATTAAATTTTTTTTTTGAAAAAAATATGACACGTATCAACACCTGATGTACGACGCCCAAATTTAGGCATGATTGTCTCTTAAGTGACGCCTAATTTATGCGTCATTGGTGACACCCAAAATGGGCGTCTTATTGTGCAATAAATGTGTAATTATTTCTAAAACTGTAAAAAATGCGTAATTAATTTATTAAAAAACATTAAACAAATTTTTTTGCCCGAGATCTACACTTTCGATTTCACGTGGATCTCACACAAAAATTGTGAGTGGACCCCATCATGAACCCTAAATATTTATAAGATTATGTAAATTACACTATTTGCTAGTGTTCTATTTAAATATTTGATAAAGTTGTGATTTTGATATCTACATGACGCTTAAAATAAACTAAAAATTGAAAAAGAAAGAAAGTGATAGAAAATTAGAAAAATATTTCATAAAGTTTTTTTTTTTTTAAACCCATCTTTTTATGTTTACAACTATTGAAACATTTGTAAATAATTGATTGATAATTAACATCAATATCAACATCAGCTTTATTCCAAATTAATCGGGTAATTCATCACTAAAAAAAATCACAATTTTAATGGATTCTTATATAATTTACCCTATTTTTCATTAAAAAAAAAAAAAAAAAACTAAACGAGTAATGTGCAGACTTGTTCTCGCATGATCATACACATAACAGTAACAAACATTATGTGTGAAAGCTACATGAAAAGCTCAAGCAAATTTCATGTGGTAGATGTTAGGTGGTCCTTCAAGAGAAAAATTTAGTTCGTCTCCCGTTTACAACATTAACCAAACACGATTTGCCTCAAGTTGTTGAATAAAACAAAGCATTCATAAACAGCTAGCACAAGTTGTAAATGGTGGCTGGCGTGGCATGCCATAGAAGAAAAAAGCCAACTTTTAATGCTCTTTTTGCGCCTGATATTCTTGAATTCCTTGGACATTTGATTCCCATTCCCAATCCCAATCCTCGTTGAACACCATTTTCTTTAGTGGGGGTGTAAAATGTAAAACTTAAGCTAGCACCCTAGCAATTAGTGCAAATTCAACCTTGCTCACTTTATGTCACTAATTTGTTCATGGTTTGTTACTCACACTCACGTGATAGAGAACACACACAAGCTTGCAAACAAAAATTTCTTTAACGCTTAAGAAACCATTAAGCTTGTTGCTTTAATAATTCTAATTTTTACCTCTTACATCTATAAATTACAGCCAATTTTCACAAACCAAATTCATCAATATTTCTTATCAATACAATATCTCTAAAGTTTGTAATAGCCCAAAAATGGCATCATCATTTTCAACGCCTACCAAACTCTTGTTCTTATCATTGTTTTTGATAACCATCATGGTTTCCAAAGGTCAACAAAACACAATGGTGTTCTTCCTGCAAGATGTGGCAACAGGGCCTAATGCAACAGTTACCCCAGTGACTGGCATCAATGGAAAAGTTTGGTCCTACAACACATTTGGAACCATATTTGTAATTGATGATCCTGTTTCGTTGACTACTAGTTTGAACTCCACCCCAATTGGCAGGGTTCAAGGTTTGCTTATAGCATCTTCCTTAGATGGTACTAATGTGAATGTTGTGGTTTCAATTGTGTTCAACAATTTCGAATACAGTGGTAGCACCCTTGAGATTCAAGGCATTAGTCGTCAGGGTGAGAACTATAGAGAGGTCTCTGTGGTGTCTGGTACTGGCAGATTTCGCTTTGCAAGAGGATTTGCTGCATTTGAGACTATTTCTTATGATGAAGCAACTAAACATTCTATCATTCGCTTGAGTATTAATTTGGTACAACCTTGAAAATATTAAAAATCTAAGGTTGTTTATGAATGAATGAATAAATGTTAAACCAGCTTTGTTAATATATGAAAAAGGTGCATAAATGCACCCTTTATTTATTTATTTTTATCCTTAAGTTTGAACCTTTTAGCTTTTTAGTTTTATTTTCTTCCATGCATTCATATTTAATGGGGTTTCCAAGCACTATAAGCCTAAAAATTTTCCTTAATAGGCAATGGGTTTGAAATTAGAGGATTATCAAATATCATTGACACAAGTTATAAGGAGTTTGTGTACCTTAACCAGTGGTCCCGTGTTTGAGTCCTGAGAATAGAAAAAATAGTTTTAGGAGAGCTGCTCTCTTTTTACGGTCTAACAGTATTTGAACCAGACTAGTCCGAGCTATGAACTAGTTGAGGAGACTAAAAAAAAATAAAAATTAGAGAATGGTTTTGACTAAAAAAATTACGGGGTAAGAAACGAAAATATTTTAAATGCTCTTATCGCACTCGTTGCTTGATACATTCATCCGATAAAAACAAGACACGAGCACTTGAGAAGAAAAAAACAATGTTCTCCAATGCTCATTTTCAACTATTTCATTTTAGTAATCCAAGAAAAAAAACTATTTCATTTTAAATGACAATAGTACGCGTGAGGGGAACACTAAAAATGGAACAATGCCACCAAAATTAAAGGGTTTTTTTGACTTTTGATCTATAATTCTATATTTACAACGTGCTCGTCATATCACACAAGTGAAGGCCAGTTAATGTTGTTCGGGATAGTAGTTGCCTTTGTAACATTCGTTTGATATGTTTATTAGATATAGCAAGATAAGTTATTAGCCATGCATGAAATGGGAGTCCTTAATCAGCCACCATAAAGAACTTAATTTCATGATCCATAATTTATAATTTAATCAATGGTACATTAGTTCAGTTTGCGATTTAAATGTAAAAATTGAATATTTCAAAATGAAGAAGACTATCTATTTATTAAAGTGTCAATAACGACAATATCCAAAAAAAAAAAAAAGTGTCAATAACGATACAAATTCATTAAATGCTTAACAATTATTTTTTGGTTATCTTGTTTTTTTTTTAAAAAATTATTAGGCAAGTTTTACAAATTAAATTGACGATTCAATTTAAAAAAATATATTATGCATATGCTAAACATTGATAATTCGGTTAGAATATTTTCTAATCAACATTTGCTGAAAGTGGAGTCTTCAATATAACTGTATTTTTTCATTTTTGAAATGAAGGGCCATAGCCCAAACAATTAAAAACGAAGAAGCAACTAAACAACTTTTTTTTTTGTTTTTTTTGTTAAACAAGCAACTAAACAACTTTAAAATAATGGTTATGCGTTAAATATGCAGACCTGTGCACTCATGATCTTACACATAACAGTAACAATCATTATGCGTTAAAGCTACATGAAAAGCTCAAGCACATATCATGTGGTATATGTTACTATTAAGAAGGCCTTCAAAATTAAAACTTTAGTTCGTGGTCTCACGTTTACAACCTTAATCAAACACGATTTGCCTCAAGTTGGTGCGAATTCATAATTAGCTAGCACAAGTTGTAAACAGTAGCTGGCATGGCATGCCATAGCAGGAGGAAAAAGCCAACTTTATTGCTCATTTTGCGCCTCATTTTCTTTAATTCCTTGAACTGTTGATTACCAGTTCTAATCTCAATCCACGTTGAAACCATTTCTATATATACCATTTTAATTTTACCTATACTTTTTTTCTTTATTCACATTTTATCACTAATTTTTTCATGGATTGTTACTCATACTCACGTGATAGATAACACACAAGCTTGCAAACAATTTTTTTTTTTTTAACGCTTAAAAAACCATTGAACTTGCAGCAGCTCTAATAACTGCAATCTCTGCCTCTTAACTCCTATAAATCTCTGCCAATTTTACACACCGAATTCATCAATATCTCTCAAACGTTTGTAGTAACCCAAAAATGGCAGCATCATTTTCAACACCAATCAAGTTCTTGTTCTTCTCATTGCTTGTGATAACCATAATGGTTTCTCAAGCTAATTGTGAAGTTACACAACGTAGGCTTGAACAAACAAACATGGTGTTCTTCATTCATGAAGTGGCAAGAGGTCCTAATGCAACAGTTGCTCCTGTAACAGGAATCAACGGAAAGGTTTGGTCCTACAACACATTTGGAACTATATTTGTAGTTGATGACCCTGTTACATTAAGTGCTAGTTCGAACTCCAACCCAATTGGCAGGGTTCAAGGTTTGATTACTGCATCTTCCTTAGATGGTGCTAATGTGAATGTTGTGCTTTCAATTGTGTTCAACAATTTCCAATACAATGGTAGCACCCTTGAGATCCAAGGAACTAGTCGTCAACGTGAGAATTATAGAGAAGTCTCTGTGGTTTCAGGTACTGGCAAGTTTCGATTTGCAAGAGGTTTTGCTGCATTGGAGACTCTGTCTTATGATGCTGCCACTACCCACTCTGTTATTCGCTTGAGTGTTACTTTGTTCCAAACTTGAGAATTTTAAAAAATATGAATAATGTTAAATTAGCTTTGTTAATTAATATATGAAAAAAAAGGGGCATAAATGTAACCCTTGATATTATTATCCTAAAGTTTGATCACCTTTTCGCTTCTTAATATTATTTTTCTTCCGTGTGCATATTTAATTGGACTTCCAAGCACTGTGAGCCAGGAAAACTTTTTTTTAATAGGTAATGGTTTGAAACTAGAGGATCATTGTGACAAGAAAAATTATAGGATATGTGCCGAAAGTTACATGCTACGAGATACATACACAGTTAAGGAACAACTCCACACCGAAATTAAAGGGGTTTTTGAGTTTTGAAACATAGTTTTATATTCACAACATGATTGCCACATCAACCTAATGCTGTTCGGGCTAGTGGTTAGCTTTTTAACATTGACTTGATACGTTTATTATACATAACAAGATAAGTTAACGTAATGTATCATGATTTATCAATTATTTAGTATATCATATAAACTTGTTTATCAAATCTATTTTATGCATTAAAATTATAGTATTGTCCAGTTGTTTTCCCTTTCGAATAGAACGGAAGGAAGGACAAGATCATAGCCGAAAGTCATAAGCTAATTAAAAATGGAGAAACATTCTGATTTGTGTCCTTCCTAAAAGGTAGCTATGCATGAAATGAAAGTCATTGATCCATAATTTATAATTTAAGTAATGCTACATGAATTCAGTATTCGGATTTAGTAGTGATCTATATAAGTCAATTTTCACGTTCTATCTAGTGTTTTGAGATTAATATTTAATATACTTTTTTTAATAAATAATTTTAATATTTTAAATCAAATTATTTTTTGAACTTCTTTAAATGTAACACACACACATATATATACATATATATAGGAAAAACATCTATCCTTTTAAAGGATATAGACTTATATCATTTTAGATCTTAATCGTTGATTTCTGTTCATCAACGGTTATAATCTATTGGGTCAAACTTAATGAGTCAAATTTATTATTAATTAATTAATAATTTTGATCCAATAAATTATAACCGTTGATGAACGAAAATCAATGGTTAAGATATAAAATGATATAAGTTTATATCCTTTAAAATGACAAATATATATATAATCAACACAAAATTACTTTATTATTCAACGGTTAAGGTCACAAAATTACTTTATTATTCAACGGTTAAGTTCAAAAAAATCGTTTCGTATTGAACAGCGTCAATATGATATGACTATGTCTATACGTAACTAAGTGGCAAAAAAATTTATTTATTGTAATTTAATTAAATAATTACGATAATTTGAAGAAAATTACGAATCTATTGCACACTGTGACGCACCTTTTGGGCGTCACATGTGACGCCCCAGTAGGGCGTCTTCTCTTCATTAGAGACGCCTCAATGGGGCGTCACATGTGACGCCCAAATGAGGCGTCTCATACCATAATATATTAAAAGGAAAGTGACGTGCATTTGTTGGGGCAAAAAAATTTATTTATTGTAATTTAATTAAATAATTACATAAATGTGATAATTTGAAGAATAATTACGAATCTATTACACACTGTGACACACCTTTTAGGCGTTACATGTAACGCCCCGGTGAGGCGTCTCTCACGAAGAGAGGACGGCCCAATGGGCGTCTCATACCATAATATATTAAAAGGAAAGTGACGTGCATTTGTTGGTGCTGCTCTTTTCTCGATTGCTGGGAAGTGGGAATTCAGAAATGAGATTGAATTGAAATAACCCAAACACATGAATTGACAACTGAGGTTCATCACAGCACAGTTACTATGCATACATCCAAAACGAGCCAAAAATTACAAATGTGTTATTTTATTTTATAAATGTATTGCTTTTCCTTTTTTATAAATATTATCTTTTGGTAATATAAATGTGTTATTTTTTTATATTTAATAAAAAGGATTCGCTTTTTCTACTATTACTGCAGATAAGTTATTTGCAGTAAGTCCAATACGATATCGTTTTGAAGCAGAAATCACGATATTTTTGTAATTTTAATTTATTTCAGGATTATTATAATCTTTATAATTATAATTTTTTAATATTTCAATTCCAAAATAATATCGTTTTAGAAGTAAATGCAGATAATTTATCTGTGTAGAAATATTTTTCTCTAATAAAAAATATACCAAACGCTCAATACAACCAAAAATATTTTTCCTGAACGAGAACCTCTTTTTTTGTTCCGGAACCCAATAATTGTATTGAGGGGCAAAAAGACACAACCACTACATTTTGGTCAAGAAAAAGGGTCAGCTTTACAATCTGTAGTTCAATAAGAGAAAAAGTTGTCATTCCTAAAATAGCGTTTTGAGATCCCTGGCATTATGCACTTCTGCTTCCGGTCATGGTACAGCCTCAATACAACTGCTGATGTTTCTTCTATCGCTTTTGCAGTCACATCTGTAATTAGATAATAAATTAATACTTCATTAGCATTAATTTGAAGCTAATAGTTTCCAATTCACTTTCATGAATTAATATAAATCAAAATTTGCATTTTTTTTTGAAAAGTGACATAAATGTGAATTTGGGTAGAATTTAAATTTTGTTACCAATTACTGGGGTTTGCGGGAAGACTTTTTATTAGAGAAAAATATTTCTGCACAGATAAATTATCTGCATTTACATTCAAAACGATATTATTTTGGGATTGAAATATTAAAAAATTATAATTCCAAAGATCATAATAATCTTGAAATAAATTAAAATTACAAAAATATCGTGATTTTCGTCTCAAAACGATATCGTATTGGGCTTACTGCAAATAACTTATCTGCCGTAACAGTAGAAAAAACGAATCATTTTTATTAAATATAAAAAAATAACACATTTATATTACCAAAAGATAATATTTATAAAAAAGGAAAAGCAATACATTTATAAAATAAAATAACACATTTGTAATTATTTTCTTCCACATTTTTTATTCCATGAAAGGTAATACTTATTTCGTGAATACCGAAAATATTCTCCTAGTTCAGAATTTCTATGCAATTTTTGGCTCGTTTTGGATGTATGCATAATAACTGTGCTGTGATGAACCTCAGTTGTCAATTCATGTGTTTGGGTTATTTCAATTCAATGTCATTTCTGAATTCCCACTTCCCAGCAATCGAGAAAAGAGCAGCACCAACAAATGCACATCACTTTTCTTTTAATATATTATGGCATGAGACGCCCCGTTTAGGCGTCACATGTGTGACGCCCAAAAGATGCGTCACAGTGTCTAATAAATTTGTAATTATTCTCTAAATTATCATATTTACGTAATTATTTAATTAAATTACAATAAATAAATTTTTTTGCCGTAACTAAGTAATTATGTATATCTAAAAATTGTAAAGAATGGAAATAAAAGGAATACTTGTTACTTGTTAGGTACATCACCCGGCGGTTCTAGCTAGTTGCTAATGGTGAGTCACGTCATTCTTTTAACTTTAAAGTCAGTGACTGATTATACTTTTTTGGTTTGCTATTTGACTGATCGTACATCAAAGTTGGACAAATATGACTTCTGCCATTTAATTGGGACGATGGTCGTAAATAGGCTAAACTAGATTTTTACTTAAATAAGTTAGTTTTACGCAAAAAATATTAGGTATGACCTGGTTTATTAGCTTGTATAAGTTTCAAATTATAAATCTGGTCTAACCTATATTTAATAAATATATGCCTTGGCCTAAGCTTGTTAGTCTGTTTAAGTCTATTAAACATTTAACAATTAAAAGAATAACTAAAATAATATTATTTTATTATTCGAAATTATTAAAATAATAATTTTATTTATTATATTTTAAATAAATAATATGATATAGACCGGCCTGTAGACTTATAGGCTCAACATATACAAAAAAGTCTATAACCTGTTTTCTAAATAGTTTTTTTTAAAAGTCTAGACCTGTTCTATTTTACAATTTATAATAAACTAAGTTTAATCTAATATAGACTAGGCCATAGGCCTCTGTAGGCCGACCTAGCCCATTTACACCCCTAACTAAAACCGATTCATAAATTGAAAAATTTCTTCTGGTACAGTGTATGTACTCAAGAGGTGTATTTTTTTTTTAAAAAAAAGATTTTTTTTATTTTAATTCATATTTTTTTAACTATTTTCCATCAAATTTGAATTTTTTTTCTTTTTTAGCATGGATGTTGGTATATTAGTTGCATAAAAAAAATGTGATAATTCAGTTGGCGTATAGAAGTTGAACATGTAGGAATGGCAGTACATGTTTGATATTTTCTAATATTATTTTTGTAAAAAAGTTTGAAATCCCAATTTTGAATCTGTGAACTAATTATGAAATAATGAACCAATTTAAAAAAAAATTAAAAAAAAAAGCTACATAAAATGGTGGAATTCTTTCTCATGTTCTAAACTTTTCCTATAATAATGAAAAGTAAATTGTGTATCATTTTAAAGGATGTAAAATTGTATCATTTTAAGAGAGAGAAAAAGATAGATAAAGAAGAAGAGAGAGTTGACAAAAAAAAATAAAGGTATGGATTCCACCTCTTTATAAAAGTGAAAGAATATAAGTTGTGTCATTTAAAAGAATAAACATTTTTTCCAATAATAATAGTTTATTGACGCTAGGTAGGTCTTGCGTCAGTGACAGGGTCAATACAATACAACCCTGCAGTGGTTCTATAAAATGGAAAAATTTAGACTGGTACGGCCTAGATGCTCCTTCCACCAAGAGTGAACATTTGGAATAAAAAAAATCTTTTCCTCGCCTCAGTCATTAATGGATTTTGATTGGTCGGAACAGGAAGTAAAATGTGACATTATTTTTTAATTTTTAATTCAAATATCATGTTAATAATATTTTTTATTAGATTATCACTGGTTAAAATTCTCTAGGATTAGTAGTGAATTTTGTTAGCCTATGATTGAACCAAATTTATTATCAATAATAGCGAATTTGGTTTGGTGTGCACTAATAAAAATGTGTCAACTAACTAAATTTGCTACCAATTATAACAAATTTCAACACATGACAATATAATAAAAGATATTATTTGCAAAATATTTGAATAAAAAATGTCACAGTTTAATTACTATTATTGTTTGGTTTCTTCCGGTCAATCGTGGGACGGGACGTTAAAAAATCTTCTAAAATCGTGTCAACTACGGGGCTAGATGTGATGGATGTACTCATGGAAATCTGAATTGGCAAGACTTAGTTGTTGCAAAAGAAAGCGGATTCGATTGTTGATGAGTTTAATTGATGCTTTATTAGTTCCAAAATATCAATAATTTTTATCAGTTTTGTCTTAATATCTAATTATAGGTTAAATAGAATAGATTAAATGTCATGAAATATAATAAATTATTATAATATTATTATTTAAATAATTTATAATAAAACGAGAAATTTTTTTTGTTAAAATGATAAGAAAATTAATAAATAATAAATTAGTTCCATTTCATTTAATATTTATTAATAATGAATCCAAATCATTTTTAAGGAAATATTAACATTTATATACAAAATTGATAGTTGAATGTAATTAATTGATTTTCAAAGTATATAGTATTACATTTGATAATTAATAATAGCTTTAACTATCCCTCAAGACTGTTTTATTGTATAATATAGATATTGCGATACACCATGCCTTTTTTGTGGAATTACTACCTAAAATTTTTGCTCGCCTAAAAAATAAAAATAAAAGTATCAGGTGTTCAATGGGAAGAACCCTAAAATTTCCCCTAGAGAACACTAGGTGACGTAGAAAAATTTCGGTCTTATAATAAACCATGTTACGTCCAATAGTATACATATCTCTTACGAAGAAGTGGATATTACACATCCAGCACTTTTATTTTTTTATTTTTCATTTTTTTTTGTGGTAATGAAAGTTAACTTTGCATTTCATACGTGTTTACACCTCGACCCATTACTGACAAATGGAAATGAACTCTTGGTGGCTATATTAATTAATAATAAAGACAAGGCTTGTGCACAATTCACTTGACGGGTCATTCCTGGCTCCTGAGTATCTGTAATGCTTCATCTCACCAGCTTTTAAGAAGAAAAAGATGTGTGCGTGGAGGTGAATGTTATATATGGTGTGGAGGCAAAAATTATTGGAAATGGGGGCCTCCACATTTAATTGCCCCTATTAGGTTTCTTGATCTGCTTAATCAATGCTTGTTATTATCAATATGGTCCACAACTCTCATGGTCACATCTCTTCTCAAGTCTCAACCACATATGAGAAGCTTATAGATATTGGGGAAAAAAATAACTTACTTTTAAATTTTAGGCTTTAATTTCTCTAAAGTGAATATAGATAAATTATCTATTTTTATTACCAAAGCGACCTTCACTTGGGTTAAAAGATTAAAAAATTATAGTGTAAAAGATTATTATAATCCTAAAATAAATTACAATTACAAAAAATACCTTGATTTCCGCTTCAAAACGAAATCGTTTTGGGCTCAATATGAATAACTTATCTACATTGACGGCAAAAAAAAGAAATAATAAATTTTATTAAGTTAATATCATGATACACTTTAAATTAAATCAAAGATAAATAATGTATCATTTATTTAAGGGGACAGGTTATATTTACAAACTTTTTTGTTTACAAACTCTTACAAACTACACTAAGTAGGACCAGTCCTACATTAATCACACAGTGTACGACTAATCCTACTTAGTGTAATTGCAAAAAAAATTTGTAAACAGATCCTGTCCCTTATTTAAGAATGAATATGCTTTTATTTATAATACATCTTTAATCTACTACAAGTACATGGACCAACTCGTAAATGATTGTCCAACTTAACTCTTAATTTTGAGTTCAAGTCTTCGATATGCAGTAAAAAACTTGGATAAAGAAACCTCCTTTTCCATAAAATCTTTCACTAGAAATAGGAGATCAATATTAAGTTCATAAGTATAGCTATTAGATCCTCTATTAATTTATGATGAATCGAACTCTCTCCATGACAATCAGAAGAAAACTCAAGTTCCAAAGCGGAAGATAGTGACACTTCTATTAAACCTTTAATAACCAAAAAGAGAAAAGGTGGGTTCTGTAGTTTTCATTCTGATTTTTCAAAGAAAGGAGAAGCTTAGAAGCAATTTAATAATTGTTTATACGGTTCATTGTTTATCATCTAAAAAGGATGGTCCTTTAAGATAAATATTGTGTGTTTTTTCAAATTTTAAACTACAAAATTTTTTCTCCTCTCTCTCTTTCTCAAGTTTATTTCTTTATCTCTCTTAAGAGGATATAAGTGTGTATCCTTTAAAAGGATACACACTTTTCCCTTGTTTATATTTAGGATACGTATAAAATCTGAATATTCTAAAAAAATAAAATAAAACAGGATTAATTATCTAAGGACTTGAAAAAAAATTATACTATAAATAAAATAACATATGGAAATGAAAGTATTATTGCTCTTATTAAAGTGGTCCCCCTTATGAACGTGTATAGCTGTAAAGAACACAAACTATACAGAACAATTCTTGGCACATGCTTGAACCCTCGAAGAAACAGAAGTCCAAAAAAGAGCAACCGAGGTAGCTGCCTAAACTTTCATATCCTATTATTTCCCACTAGAGTGTTGATACTCAATTTTTAATTTTTTTTTATACTAGTAATATTGATGAGTTGTTGAAAATTTCTTTATTATGATTAAATAATATTTATTGTTATTTTGACAAAAAAATATTTACTTTATATACCAACTAATGTTTGAAGTCTTAATGAACTGGACTATTTCAGTTTTGGATTAGAGTCTCTCCACTCTACAAGAATCACGACTTTTAAAATTCAAACTCATTATTTTTGGACAAGTCAAATCATGGTATCTAGCTGGGTCTTTACTAGACCAGAATAAAAATAAATAAATTTTAGTTAATGTTTGATTAGGATGGACCATAGCCCCAAACTTCCACGGGTCTTTAATTATATGTATTATTTCTGTTATTTTGATTGTAGAAATAGTGATCATCCTAAATTCATACAAATCTTTACTTGTAAGTAACATTATTTTTTTAGATTATAGAAATATTTGTAACTCAGAAGGAAAAAATTTGAGTTATAATTTTGTCCCATTACCAAATTTTCTGCGTGTGTAATCCAGAAAGGACAAGCGAATCAGCCGCCTAAACTTTCAAACCCAATTTGTGCTATGCATAAGTGGTTTTTTATTGTACATAACTGGTAGGTACTTTGTAGCATTTATATAAGGCATTTATTAATCTCCTTCAATAGAAGATAGCTTATCTCATGCATAGAAACAAGTTACGTGGATCCCACTATTTTTTAAAAATAAAAAAAATATAAAAAGAATGACACAACTCTTTATGTCTCACTAACATGAAATAATTGTCTTTATAAAAGGAGACAATTTATACTCTTTATATAATTTCTAAAACTAGTTGCTTAATTTTTGTTGAAAAAATTCACTGTAAGCCCCTCTATAAATACATAACTCTGTTTCCAAGAACTACACCAAAAGCATAGCAATGATTAAAATGGGAGACAGTGATAAACAACCACAACCACAACCCCATGTAGTAGTAGTACTACCAATAGATGTTCCAGTCACCAAAACTCAATCAAATTGCAAGTCTCAAATCCATATCCAATCTTTATCATCTTCTATTCTGTCACAACTTCATGCAGGGTACTTTAGGATTAGTCTTTCTCTCACAAGCCAAGCCTTATTATGGAAGAACCTTATTGAGCCAATCCAAGATGCACATGCTCTTAGACGTGTATTTTCATTGATACCCTCCACGGCTTTCACTCTTTTGTGGTGGCTGGCCTTATTAACACTAGTCACACTCTCTTTTCTCTATGTTCTAAGATGTTTCTTTCACTTTAACATGGTTAAGGATGAGTTCTTAAACCATGTAGGAGTAAATTACTTGTTTGCTCCATGGATTTCTTGGCTATTTTTACTAGAATCATCACCATTCTTTCCCCCAACAACACTCTATTACAAAATACTTTGGTGGGTGTTTGTGGTTCCTGTGGTGATGCTTGATGTGAAGATCTATGGTCAGTGGTTTATAAAAGGGAAGAGGTTTCTGTCAACTGTAGCAAATCCAACAAATCAGTTATCTGTGATTGGGAACTTGGTTGGAGCACATGCTGCTGCACAAATGGGTTGGAAGGAGAGTGCAATATTCATGTTTTCTCTTGGTATTGCACATTACTTGGTGCTTTTTGTGACACTTTATCAGAGATTGCCAGGGAACAATAACCTCCCTGCAATGCTACGTCCAGTGTTCTTCTTGTTCTTTGCAGCACCAAGCATGGCAAGTTTGGCTTGGGATTCCATTTGTGGCAAGTTTGACAGTGCATCCAAGATGCTGTTCTTCCTCTCACTCTTCCTTTTCATGTCCCTGGTAATTTTCTGTCTTTAAGTCATCAAAGTCAAAGAGCTGAAAGAAAAAAAAAAAAAAAATGAAGTTTTATAGTTTTACTTGGAACTTGGAAGTCCCAAAGAAAGTGACCTTAAATGGACCTAACATATTTCCTAGTAGTCGGCAACTGCAAAACTTGGAACTGATGTTGTCAAATTGTTTACGTTCCTTTGTCATTCTCATGCTTGATTTGTTTTGTTCATAAATTGGAAGAATCTAAGTTGCAATCCACTTGAAAGCTGGTCCCCTATTTATAAGTTGACTAATATCACCTTTTAGTTGTCGCAATATAATGGATAACTTAGACAAATTCATGTGATCTAATTTCTCTGAAAATGAGATCTTACGATTTCTATTTTGTGGTCCCCCAACGGTGCTATTGCCAACCCAAAACTCTTGTATTATGGTATAATAGTTCATTGTACTTGGACGTAGCTAGGAATCTAGGATAGATTTTTGTTGGATCTGTGGTTCATGATAGATCCGGCCCAAAATGATGGTGCCCTAATCTCTTGTTTATAAGAGATGTTTAAATATTGAGCCGTCATATAATAAAAAAACAAAAAGAGAAAAGATGCAAACGCTGTGTGACACAATAATTTTGTTCATACATGTTCAGTCCCATAAGTGGATTGATGTATACGCTGAGATAGATCAATTGGTATGAATATACCAAATCTCTTGAGAAGTGTGTTTGAGTGGAGAAAGGGTGGAGTGGAGTTAGGCCTCAAGCACATACAAATATTTATCTTTGACCCCATTTAGATTTAAGAGAAAGATAATATAACATAAATTCGTTCTCTCAAGCTCAGTTTTTTAATTTTCATTCTTATTATTCTTCATGTATGAAAAAAAAAACTTCTAGAGTTCAACAAATTTGGTTATGTATAAGTTAGTGTGAATTTTGCTGCCTTCGCCCTATCTCACAAAATTCTCTAACTCCGCCATTGAACCGTGAAGGTTTCACTATGCATTAGTGAGAAGAATTGATAATGCTGTGTTCACTGTAGAGTGCTCAATGTGATGTATATGAGAGTGTAGAATGTGAATGACCAAATTGTCTTTGCCTTAGGACAAGAGTGTATAAACACAGGTGGTCATGGAAGCTTCTAGAAGGTGTTAGGTGACGTATAATGATTTTCAGGTAAGTAAGCGAGTATGCAAATTATGAGATGTGTATGAAAATGGAATGTGGTTATATAAAGTGAGCAGAGATATTATGGGAGTGGAAACTAGGCCATATAAAGGGTTCAATTCAAAGCACTAGTCCAAAACAGATATCTTAGCTAGTTTAATTATTTCTTTTGTAGACTAATTTTTTTTTTTAGTAATTAGCTTTTGTTTGTATTTATGATCAAACAGGTTTCAAGGCCTATGCTATTTAAGAAGTCGATGAAGAAGTTCAATGTGGCATGGTGGGCTTATTCTTTTCCTCTAACAACTCTGGCACTGGCTTCAACAGAGTATGCACAAGAAGTTCAGGGAGCCGTGGCTCATGTTATTATGTTAGTATTATCATCGCTCTCAGTTTTGGTGTCTCTGATCTTAATGATTATCACTGCTCTCAACACTAGCATGCACTTACCTGCGCACAACCTTGATTCAAAACAGAAAAGCAATTGTGCAGCAACATGATCAAGATTAGTTGTTGACTATTGAGCTATTTCCGAGTTTTTTTTTTTTTTTTGGTAAATGCTATTTCCGAGTCTTTAATTTGCACAAAGGGTGCCACTGATATTGATTGATATAATTGTATTTTGTGTAGAAGAACAATATAAGGACCCAATATATATATGTACATATTGTCAAAAAAAAAGAAAAAAAAAAGAAGCATATGGAAACTGTATTAAGTTTTAGACACTTCACTTGAAAAGACTGATTTAAATATTACTGATAATTGGCTATTTGTATATCAATAAACTTTTTTTTTTTTTATGAAATTTGTAGTCTGTCCTAGTTCAACTTCTCATCTTAAATTTTTCATATCAAAAATAAAAATAAAAAAACAGAGAAAGAAAAAAACTCCCTCAAAATATAGAAGTTTTTTTTTTTGTATGTGTAGATAATAACATGTGAGTAGGAGTGTCAATATAGGTTTTGACACACGGGTCGACCCGCGACACCACACGAAAATTCGAGTTCGGGTTGACTCGCAAAAAAATTCGTGTCGTGTTCGTGTTGGGAAAACTGAAACGTAAAACATTCGTGTCGTGTTCGTGTTGATGTATTCGTGTTCGTGTCGACCCGTATTTTTTTAAATTATTTTATTTTTAATTTTTTATTATTATTATTTTTAATTTTTTTTTAATATCGATCCATTTTTTTAAATTTTTATGTCAATTATCATTTTGACCCCTATTTTGCGTGTTATTCGTGTCGTGTCGTGTCAACCCGCAAAAAATTCGTGTCATGTCAATGTTGAAGATTTTGACACGAATAAAAATTCGTGTCGTGTTAGTGTTGATGTATTCGTGTCGTGTCGATCCGTTTTGACACCCCTACATGTGAGTATTGTATCAATTTACCATTTATTAATTAGTAGTTCTTATTTCATATATTAGTAATAAAAATAAGGGTTTAATGTTTCTTTCCCTCACATATATAAAAGTGCATGGGAGACCCATGTGGGGTCTTGTGAAGAGAAAAGAGAAAAAATTATGAACATCATACATTTTTATATAAGTAGGAAATAAAATTATTTTCTAATAATATGAGAGACAATAAACCCTAAAAATAAACGTTAAGTAATTGTATGAATAATTGCTTGATGTACGATTTTTCAAAAAATAAAGCAAAATAAAATATTGTGCATCTTTTATTCTTATATTGGTTATCTATAAGAAGAAGAAAAAAAATTATAAATCAGCAACTTTCTGTTTCAAAAATTGCGTGACTTTCAATGAAAAGCTTCTATGCCTTCACAGGCAGTAGAAGCAAAGACCGATGTTTTTTAATCTTCAAAGGAATTAATCTTTCAACTACGGAAAATTTTCAAAAGTATAACATATTCCTTTTTGTGAAACAGACGCTGAAGCATAAAATTTTTCTTAAGACTGTATTGTTTTTTTCAAAAAAAAATCTCTCTAAATTCATCTACTTGTTCCGTTTTATTTTTATTTATTTTTTATATTTCTGCTGATTCAACAATTAATAAATTAATCTTGTCAGCAAAATCATAAGGGCAGAAAAACTCTTCATATTAGGTGTGGTCTTGGGCTTCCCAGTCATGTCGTGGAAATCCAAAATCAAATCCAAAAGCACTACTTCATTTAATTGGGGGCAAAAAAAATTTATTTACTGTTTTTTAATAAATTAATTAGGTATTTATTACAGTTTTAGAAATAATTACATATTTATTGCATAATAAGACGTTTATTTTGGGCGTCACCAATGACGCCTACATTGGGCGTGCCCAAAATGGACGTCACTAAAGAGGCAATCACGCCTAAATTTGGGCGTCACTTGTCAGTTGTTGACACGTGTCATATTTTTTTTTTATAAAAAAAAATAATTTAATCATAAAACTTCTGAAGGCCATAACTTTTGACTCGGGTATCCAAATCAGGTTATTCTTTTTTTTATTCCGCATAACTTTTCGAGATCTACACAATGACATCTCATTTGACATATGTTATTTCTCACAAACACAATTTATATTTGCAAGAATGGTATTATAAGAGCGGTTAAACCCAGAAGCCTCTCAGTTATGAGTTTGTGATTTAATATAAAAAAATAAATAAAATTTTGATTTGTGATTTAATTTTTTTTTATAACAATTTTTTTTATTATAACAAAAATTTGGTTTGTGATTTAAATTAAAAATAAAAATAAAAATTATTATTAATAAGAAAAACAAAATAAAGATTTGATTTGTGATTTAAACTAGAAAAATCAATTTGAAAAATCTGTAGAAATAAAGGAAATAATTAAATAAATATTCTAAATTTTAAGGAAGAAGGATATTATTTTCGAAATTAACAATTAATGCTATAAGCTCCTGGGTTATTATTCGTGGTCTGAAATTAATGATGGCTCAAGAATATTTTTCAAAAATAAAATTACCTAAATTAGGCGTGATTGCCTCTTGATTGAAACTCAATTTAGACGTGATTAGTAACGTGTCAGGTGTTGACACGTGTCACATTTTTAAACTTAGAAGCCTCTGAGTTCTGAGTTTGTGATTTAATATCAAAAATAAATCAAGATTTGATGTGTGATTTAAATTAAAAAAATAAATTTTTTTATTTTTATCATAAAATAAATTTGGTTTGTGATTTAAATTAAAAATAACAATTAAGGAAACCAAAATAAAGATTTGATTTGTGATTTAATCTCAAAAATCAATTTGAAAAATCTGTATTAATAAAGAAAATAATTAAATAAAACTTCTAAATCTCTAAGGAAGAAGGATTTTATTTTTTAAAAACATTCATAAGCCATCTTTAATTTCAGACTACGAATCAAATCACAAATCAAATATTTATTTATTTTTTAATTTAAATCACAAATCAATTATTTATTTATTTTTTTATATTAAATCACAAACCCAGAACTCAGAGGCATTTAAATTATGTTTGTGAGAAATAAAATATATCAAATGAGATGTCATTGCGTAGATCTTTTCTGCGTAGATCTCGAAAAGTTACGTGGAATCAAAAAATGAATTACCTGATTTGGATACCCGAGGCAAAAGTTATGGCCTTCAGAAATTTTATGATTAAATTATTTGTTTTTAGAAAAAAAAATATGACACGTGTCAACACCTGATGAGTGACGCCCAAATTTAGACGTGATTGCCTCCTGAGTGACGCCCAATTTAGGCATCATTGGTGACGCCCAAAATGGGTGTGCGTCTTATTGTGCAATAAATATGTAATTATTTCTAAAACTGTATTAAATGCGTAATTAATTTATTAAAAAACATTAAATAATTTTTTTTTCCTATAATTCGGAGGTTGATAATCATAAATGGACCAAAACGATTCAGAAGCACCGACTAATAGTTGGATCAAAAGCCCAAAAACGGAAAAGGACAAAAAACACCAACTACAATTCCACGTCAAGCTTGTGTCACGCGCATGTAACAAATGTTTGCAAGTATAATAATAACTTGGCTTTCTGTTTTTGTTGTCATGGTCTCCAAATTTCAACAGAAACATCTATTAAAATTCCATCGGGATAACTGTCATCTATGTTTTACCTCTTTTGCGTAGACTTCAACGACAGAAAATTCCCATCTCAGCATAGAGATATCGTGCACCATAGAATGTTTGGATACCATAAGAAGATACAAACAACATTATTTCAATTCTCTCCTAAAAATAAATTTAGGGTGTGCAAAATAATCGAGTCGGATATTCTGGACATTTTCGATTTGGATTAGCTTAAATCATATATGATTAGGTCCAATTTGTATTAATCTGATCACCTATAAAAAAAATTGTAGGTCCCTTTATTGCTCTGTCCGGTTGATCCTCTCATGGGAAAAATTAACAATATAGGATCTCTACCTAATTTAAAAGATATTTGAATTACTTAAAAAATATGAATTAATCTAAATTTTAAAAAGTGATAGTAATTAACATTATTGTTGAAAGAGATAATACATTTATATGAAATTTGAATTATATATTTATTTTTTTTAATTTTTGGTTGAATTATTTAAAATTAGAGTATATAAAAAAGAAGGTTTCTTAATTGATAACATAATTGTATTAAAACAGTATAAATTTGAATTAAAATAAATGCATATATGAATGACATGTGACATAAACTCCAATACTTCTTTTTATATAATAGTATATGAATGAATTATTTGACTCGGTGTGTCCTTTTTACGACAACAACGGTCAAACATACTTAATAGTTATAGGTGTTCTCCTTCCCACGCCTCCCTTCTCCCTGTGTTCGAAATCAAAGGTCTATTATTTTATGGGTTTTGTTTTTGTTATGTTACATGACAAGAGGTTATTTTCCTACACACTCATAATATATGTGGGGTCCACTAAATAGTGAAGTGAGAAAAAAAATCAAAGGTGGAACCCAGCTTGGATGTGTGTGTAGGAAAATTGGATTCTTGTCATGTAATATGACAAACCATTTTCCCTTATTTTATTTTACAAACACCTCATGAGAGCTTAGGATTCCCATATTAATATCCATATTGGAGTATGTGAGAACTAACATTAAAGCGAATTTAGAAAAATATTATACTTGAGATGATTTGAGTAGATCTTAAAAGTGCTAATTAGAAAATAAAATAATAGTTACAAATTCTAAGGCCACTAGGCAGTAGTATAAATGCCTTGGAAAAAGGGCATCAAAATAATGTTATTGAAGCTTTTGGAGGAATTTGTGTATGGGCTTCAATAGAGGGACGGCAACTTTGGCAATAAACTAACAAATTGGAATTTGGAATTTCGTAAGAAACTATGCCTTGTTAACCAAAGTTTCTCAGTGAGTTTGTTGATGAACAAGTTCTCTCTAGCACTAGAAGAATAAGACATTGACTTGTATTTTGGGTTGACTTGGTTCTGGCCTCTGAATTTTCATATAAGGTAACCCAACATAGTGGGAGTTGACCAAACTCTTCGATTCCAACGTGTTTCAACTTGTCCTTTCTTTTGAGCTGTATTTAGCCTTATGTATTGAATTGGCAGAAAACCCACCAAACGTAATATTTGCTGCATATTCGTTTTGCTTTAAAAACTGGGACCAGTTATGCTATTCATGTTTGGTGAGGGAGAGTGGAATTTCATGAGTTGGTATTTTACCTTTTAACAAACCTGGAGGGTTTGTGAATTTTATTTCTATACCTACCAATACCATATAGACAGATAATTAATAGTCTCATCAAAAAGGAATAAAAGACAAAGCAAAGCTACCAACAGAGGACAGTGAGAGACATTGCTCTAAAGGGTGGCCACCTTGGTTCCTTATGCTTCATCTTCATTGGAATCAACTAACGCAAATAATGGAAGAGAGGTTGAGGGTTAAAATTGAGGTACCCCCACATTGTTCTCTTTCTATGCCTTTGTTTTATTTGAATTTACCTTTTTCCACACAACAACAACAAAAAAAGTTCAATTTTTCCAAGGCTTCCAACATACCCACCATGTCAGAGAATTTGTTAAGTAAGGTTGATGACAAATTGACAGAAGAGAGAAAAAAAACAAAATAACATTATGAATAATTGAATTATAAAAAATCTAATGTTGAATGGAGTAGCATCTTAGCAATGCCATTCTCAAAATTGAGATTACTAACTACAACACTAGCATCCCTACAATTGTGATCCTGACAAAAATGCCCACTAAATCTATCACTGACATTGCTTTTTACCAACTCTTTCAGAGCCGACACACCACTAGTTGAAGCTGTCTCAGACCCACAATTGTCAAAAGCTTCAACTTCACCCCTTCCCTCATTCCCTCTTATTGTGATCCAATTCTCATCATCATCATCATTATGCCCTGCCCAACAAGGTTCACCTGAACACAAACCTAACATTCTGACCCTGCCAGCAGGAGATTTTCGAAAACATGTTTTTTGAATCAAATTGCCAAGGCTTTCTGATTCTTCCACAGAACTCCAAAACCCTTGCTCAAGAATACTTGTTGGGGAACTTGAATTAGATTCCACAACTTGCTTATTGTTGGAACATAATTCCACAAGAAAGGGATGCTTCAGAAGTTGGCTAGTTGTCCACCTCTCTCGTGGATTCCTCCTTAAGCACTTCCCCAAGAAATCCTTTGCTTGTTCAGATAGAAAACAAGGAATCTCAGGCACCTCACCGGAATATGCTATATGGTAAAGAACTGAAACTGGGTTTGCCACATTAGACCAAGGTAAAGCACCAGTGGCCATTTCAATCACAGTGCACCCAAGTGACCATATATCACAAGGACAACCTTGTTCTTCCCCACGCGCCACCTCCGGCGCCATAAAAATCGGCGTGCCACCGATTGGCGGCGGCGCCACAGACGCGGCATAGTTAACACTCCTAGCACATCCAAAGTCACAAACTTTAGCCCCATCTTCACCAATCAAGATATTGGCACCCTTGATGTCACAATGCACCAACCCATTTGAATGCAAATACTCTAGCCCCAGCATAACTTGCCTTGTGTAGCAAGCTATCGCGGGCTCGTCGAGCCGGCCACCGTGCCGGCGAGTTTCCTGAACAAGCGTGCCAAAGGGCATGTGCTCCATGAAGAGATTGTACAAGAGCGTGTTGTTTTCCATGGTAATGTCACACCCTTTGTAGGTTATCACATAAGGACTACATAAAGAAGAGAGAATTCTCTGTTCTCTCTTCAAAGGCTTTGACTGAGATAGCTCCGATGACTTCACGGCGAAGATGCCGCCAGATTTAGTGGCGAGGGAGACGGTGGCCGATGAACCATGGCCTATGGGGTGGCCTCTATTCCACTCCATGTTTTTGGAAAATAAAAACTAATGCTCTGCTTCTGAGTGCAGGGTTTTGGTTTGTTATTGTGGCCTTTTATATGTGTAAATCAGTAATTGAATGGAAACACTATTCAGTTTTTGAAAGGTTCTTTTTATTGGTTGGCTACTTAATTTGGTTGGCGCTCAATCTCTATTCTTTGTTCTCTCTCTAGAGTTGTCAATATATAACTTCAACAATAACAGTATACAACGTGTACGAATTTGGGTGGTTCAGGTTCTTAGTCGGCAATGACTTGGTGGTTGACACGTGGGAACAATGGTTTGATTTATGATTGAAGTTTTAACGGTGTGCCAAGTGCAAGTAAATGTGGATTTGGCTTTTAGATTGGTGCAAGTGAATAGTGAAGAGTTGGAGTTTGGATGAGGTAGATGAGATTGCATTCAAGACTAGATTCTTTTTTTTTGTATCATAGTTAGCTAAACTTCGAAAATTCAATATGGAGGTATCTGTGACTGGCAAGTAGAATTGGTTGGGTTGAAGTGTTGAACCACCAAAACGGTTGAACTTTAGTATCATTTTTTTTGAAGTTAGTATTTTGATAGAGGGTTGAATTTTTGGTATTGTAGTGTGAACATTTAACCTTGACAAATTACAAGTCTTTATAGGGTGAGGAATTGGTATTAGTCAACCGGGGTAGATATTTTTATAGAAGTCAAAAACCAGAAAGATAAAAAAAAAATCATTTTTTCCCCTGTTGTGTGATATTTAATCCTTTTGAGATGATCGCCATGTGCTATTTTCTCGCCCCCAAAATATGTGCTAGTCTTTGTTTCGCATGGACTTATTAATTGATGAAGCTTCACAATGTTTCTCGTGGCATACTATAATTGGTTTTAATATGATATTTTTGGTATGAGAATGGATATTTTTGCAGCTTTCAAAAAGTGAAGGGTCATATGAAACTCATTGAAAGGTAAAAGTACTAGAAGAATTTGTATTTGTCCACTTAATGCAAAGCAAAAAAAAAAAGTGAATAAGAGATTTATTTTTTCCCAATTAATTTTGTTACTAGGCCAAACACAAATTTCGCCCAAAAGTACCAAATGTTAGACCAGGCCTACTTCTAGAAGTCGATAGGTACAAGTGAAATTATCTCCAAAAAGTAACCCTTATAATTGGGTACTATCCTCCAAGTAAAGTAATCATAATAATCTTAACCCTGAAATAATAAATAATAATATTATTAAAAATCATGATAATGCTAGACAAGAACGCACGCACAAAAATGAAGTATCTTCACTTTTATGTTTTTAGTGCTTCTTTTCCGCTAAACACCTTCATTTTCTATTTGAAATATCATATGCCACATGAGATGATTGGATGATTGTGAATCCATATATGCATTAAAGATCAATCATGGTAAAAAAGGTTTAATTTCAAATTTAGAAACAACCCAAAATCATTCGAAGGTGGGTGTTTTATTGACATTGGTTAACACCCTTTAACTTAACGAAATCTATCATTACATATGTTAGCTTTCATCCCCAGGTATACAACATAAGTGTCCTATATCTTAGGCGTGAAATAAACGTTAACTCCCCCTATCACTCATTGACATAACCATACAAGAGAAATACATTAATCTATTTACATGCTAAACATACCATATTTAATATTTTATACCAAACACTTAATTAAGCACCTTATATTAGGGGTTTGGTTACATGGTGGTTTGAAATAGAAGTTATAGGAAGGTACTATTTTAAAAGTGTTAATAGATATTGTAACTAACTACAAAAGTAGCAAATCAGAGAGTGGGGGTTGGAATAGGAGTTAGAAGTGGGAAGGCACAGTTACGTGTTATTTATTAAGCAGCAAAAGCAATAAAGCATAAGGGAAATTAAATTTTACTTCAGAGTTAGATCAGTCGGTTGGATCTTTGTGTGGCAATTCTTAATTTAAATGCTTATTAATATGAATGGCGTGGCTTGCAAGTGTTGGGTGATCAAAATTGGAAATATGCTTTAATCACACGAAAGTCACGTGGTCCTCTTTTCTTCCTTCTTTTTCTGTGTGAGAGAAAGGCTTTTGCGTAGTAATGGGAAGAAGAATAGAAATGGGTCCAATCTAATGACGATGAGAGAACACGTGTGAATTGAGAGCATTAATAACACGTTTTATATACGTGTGAACGCGAAGGTTCTACGTGTACATATTGGACAAATACATTGCAAATATAATATATAGAAGTTTTTTATATCACGAGTTTGCATAAAAGATTTTATTGGTCTTAATTGGTAAGAGCCATGTGGTTGTGTCTTGGACCAATTATATTAAAAACAATTTAGAGCATACAATCTATATTTTGGGCGCAGATGAGTCCTTTTATTTTATAAAATTAAATATTTTGAGATCATGATACTTTTAACAATTTTTTTTTTGTAAGTACTTTTCACAATTTTAATGAAGCAGTGTTGTGGTTGAAATGTATATTTTTCTTTTAAAGAATGGTGCCACTGCTATATATAACGAGAAGACATTTGACAACCGCAAACCGCAATCGACTCACCCTCATTGAAATCAGCAAAGGAACTTGTTATGAACCCGTATAAAGAACCCGTAGAATGACAGGTCTAATAAGGAGCTATCTAAGATATGGATTTAATATAATCATTGTAGCGGGTTGCTACCAGCTTTAGAGACAGAGAGGGGGAAATTAGACGAAGAAAAAGAAGAAGAATGATGGAGAAGAGAGAGAGAGAAAGAGGTATAGGGAGAGAAGAGATTTTGGCAATTTTTTCATATATCCCTTCTCAATAATCGGTCCACTACATATATACCCATGGGGTTTGTGATAACAGAAACATGATGGAAAATAAAAGAGTGCAATAAGGAAAAACTAAGTAAGTGATGGTGTATGTAGCTAAGGTGGTTCTCCTAAGTAAAATGGATCTCAGCCAATTATCTTGCTTCTAGATCAAGGGTGATCCGTTCATTCCATCGCTCTTCAAACCAACCTCGTCCTCAAGGTTGAATGTCATGTCCACCGGGGTCAAAGACAAACCTTTGAGCTGATGTTGAGCTTGAGTGCATATAGAATTGAGTTGCATGCATAACAAGAGATATACCAGCATGTATATGAAAAGGAATACTGAAAGTAATCTCATTGCAATAACCATAAAATTCTTCCCTGATTTTTGCAGCATATTTATCAATGTTGATACCAATGAAACCTCTATGGCATATTTGTACTCCGTTGTAAACCTTTGAATCATTTTCATCAAAGATGTCACCGACAATGTCTTCAATAATATCATCCAGAATTACAAAACCTACGATTCCCCTATACTTGCTGCAAACAATGGCCATGTGGCCTTTTCATAAATCTGAAGTCTCTTAGAAAACCCCAATTAGACATTGAATCCGGCAAAAAATATTCAGGAATGTGAGCCAACTCTCGAACAGGTCTAGCATTTAGTAGCTCACTCTTCTGAGTTTCAAATGCAGCGCAAATTATATTATCAATGCGTTCCTAAAAAAGATGAGTCTTTGAGTACTATTTTCCAATCCACAAGTCATGAAAATCTGTAAGATAAAGGTCATCCACTTCCCATGTCTCCCTCATCTGGTTCACCATTGAATTCTTTGGATTAGTACCCATCCTACATCTTCCCATATGATGTGCTGAGCATAAAGGTGTTGAAAGGTTTGTTAATAGCCTTGGACTTTCTTCTTTCACAAATTTCTCAAATTCATTATAGCTCATTTGCTGAACATTTAAGCTATTTCTCTTATTATTGTGTAATCCAATTACTTCAGCTCCAGTTACTGCCAGAATTCTCAATACCTTCTTAATTCCTTTCTCTAAATTCTCGTTGTCTACATCCTTCATTTGATAATTAACACAATTAGGTGACTTCACAGTTCCTGACGCGTGATCCCTTGCCCATGAAAATACATGAGCATCACACCACTCCTTGCATACATGCTGAGGGTTTTTAATGCTTTCTGACCAGTTGATTGCAGGACCTGTACCAAATATCAATTTGCTGCTAACACTTGAATCACTATTCCTATCCACAAGACAATAGGAAAAATAATGACCATAAAGAGATTGAAGTCGAGAAGCAATGGACAATGGCCCTCTCTGTTTGACCATCTGTCTGTGGGTGATATGCAGTACTCAATCTCAACAGAGTACCAAAGGCCTCATGTAAGCTTCCCAGAAGCGTGAAGTAAACTTTGGATCCCGATCACTGACTATGCTTTCAAGAATGCCATGAAGCTTCACAATCTCTCTAACATATAAGCTGGCTAGCTGCTCCGTGGAGAAAGTCGTCTTGACTGGAATGAAATTGGCGGATTTAGTCAACCTATCAACCACAATCCATATGGAATCAAATCCAGCCTGGCTTCTCGGTAATCCAACAACAAAGTCCATTGATATACTCGTCTACTTCCACTCCGGAATATTTAATGACTGTAACAAACAAGAAGGCTTCTGATGCTCAATTTTCACCTTCTGACAAATAAGACACTTATTCACAAATTGGGCTATGTCTTTTTTCATCCCAGACCACCAAAAATTCTGTTTCAAATCTTGATACATCTTGGTTGCACCTGGGTGAATGGTGTACTTACCCATATGGCCCTCTGTTAGCACTTCTTCCACATTGGCCCTTTCGGGACAATTAACCGATCTTGGTAGTATTTCACATTAGAAGCATCGGTAAACATAAAATCTTGCCCTCTCATCATTTGAATCCCTTCAACAAGCACTTGGGCCGCTTTAACTTTCTCCATTAATGAATTTCGAACTTCAACTGTAGTCATGAAATATGAAGTCTCAAGTGGTGTCACAGAAATTCTCAAATCTCTGAACTCCTCAATCAAGTCATACTCTGCAATCATCATGCTAGCCACACCCGTGGTCTTTCTGCTCAAAGCATCAGCCACAACATTCGCCTTTCCAGGGTGATATTGAAGGTCAAACTCATAATCCTTCAGAAATTCCATCCATCTCATT